GGCTTTTTCAATTCTTACTAAACTTTGTCATAAACATGCTTTTAGAGATAACGCTGTTTGGTGAAGACGCTCACAAAGAGCAGTCTTTTGGCCACCTTAAGCAACAAGTCAAGGATTTTTGGGAAGCGGCTTTCCCCTCCAAATGTAAAATGTTACTTCAGAGTTGGCTTGGGTCATTGCGTGAGATAATTATAGGGAGAGGAGTAGTTGAACGCAGTGACCACCTCACTTCGAATTCTCATCAGTCCTTTCGTCTAACGGAATCTCGACGCGGATTCAGTCTGAGTACAGACGCTTTGATAATGGCTTTGACACGTTTCATACGAAGGAGAGAGACTCCAATAGAAATCTACAGTGATGACAAAACTAACTCTGTTGGGACATCTTATGAATTACGAAATAGTATGAGCGTACGGAAAAAGCACTAAATAGACGATTTTACATAATGTAGATGCCTAGATATTTCGACCCTCCACTGTCTAACCATCGAGATCCTCCTCGAAGGGTCTTTCTGGCGATTTTTGACGAACATGTTTAAGACGATAACAGTTTATTAGCCCACTTTGTAGAAATGGACAGAACTTTAAATAACCGCCCCACTTTTTCTGCGACATCGTACGAGAGCGGTGGTTTAGCACTTGCGTCTAACACCCTGCTGCTACTTAAAGATTGTGGTGGTTTTGAGATGAAGTTCAGTACTGCGGATAGGCATTCTTAAATTTTCTAGACTTAGAATAGATGGTTCACGGGGATGAGTACTTCACAATTTATAATTTAATTACATTGATCCTTTCAATATTTTTTAAATGCAGAAACCAATGTCTTTGTATAATTACCCTGACATGAACTTGGCTGAAATGTAGGCAGAAAACGACCATGTTTGCTATCCGAAGTTGGTGTTACTGGACACTAAGGTACAATCCATTGCAAAGTGGGAGTGTTTTATCTAAAAATGTTTATAAATAAGTTATACACAGTTATAAACGTTGGAATCAGACTTCGCCTCGATGTCCATTAGCATTAACTTAGCTGCTGAGCAAGTAATATTTTGAATTTAAATCTGTCTTAAATTCATAAAATGTCATGCTGTACTGCAGAGCATGTCGTCAATAACACCGAACTATTGTGCCAACGTTATTTAGCTCATGTTTAAGTCCGGGTCTAATAGGCATGATCATACGCGAAAAAATTGGTTATGAACTACCAGGTTCGCATTTTATTTTGTCCTTTGACAAAGGGGTGAGAACTTTGGAAACATAGCTTCAGAAAGGGAACGAAAAAAGGCCTTCCGTCCTTACCAAACTAAAACTGAAACCTTCGTATTATGAGTTAGGCTAGTGTTGTGAGTTGGTAACATCACAACACAGAGTTCTTATCACTGATTGACATCAATTATAATGCCAGCCGTAATGTGTTCTTCAGAAGTGCTAAAATGCCTGTTGCTGACTGTCATGATGGGACGAATCGGCATATTAAGTGATGTGAACTTTACCGACGGATTCGTTAGTCATCTCATTAGAAGTTTACAGTTGTAAATAGATCGGCTATTCTACTAGCGAAGATAAATGTACTTCATACCTATACCATAAATCTGCATTCTTACTGCACATGAAATTTCAGGCAAAATACATAATGAGTTAAGTTGATTTTGATTTGCTATCTGGAAGCCATCATATACCCTCATTTTCGCAAAATAATATCACATATATTGATGATTGTTTTAACTTTCGTTTAGATAGAATTATTTGGGTAGTAAGATACTTAGATACAAATAAATGTATCGCCAAAGACTGATCGGATTCGTTAAAAACTCCAGGAACCGTTTGTAACGTTTAGAATTCCGTCGCTTTGCATCAAGCCTGAAGGTGACCTCTGTGCTGAAGGAGTGTGGGGAGCAGTATGTGGATGAATCTGAAATCAAAAAGAACTGGTAGAAAGTGGACTGAAAATTTAGTAAGTTTCTACGCTTAGTGATAAATGCGATCCATAATAACCAGAAGTGACACAGGCATGAGATTCAGAAAATATTATTATCGACACTAATAGTCGATAGTGCAAGTTTTTGAATGAGTGACATATCAGTGAGTTAGATATCAAGTTTCAAAGCAGAGTAATCTAGATTCAATAGTAACGCATAAAATAATCTAAGTTGTTCATAACTACAGCTGGCTAATGACGTAACGAGCGCCGATAATTTCATAAATAATTCCACCAATAAATGATCAATATCAGTATCTAAATTTAAAAAACACATCAAAATCTTATACATCCTGTCATTTAGATGTTAAATCTATCGTCATTAGTTTGTCTCTAACTTCGGATAATGAAGTGATTACAATTCCCACTGTTAAGTTGGTACATTATTATAACTGATTCGAACAAACTACTCAATTGTTTGGTACAAGGCTTACATTTTAAATCAAAAATTGTTGGACAACTACCCTGCAAAGAGTTTTACACGAAGATTTTCAACAAAGCACCATGTTACAATCTATCATTGTAGTATAAGTCCTTCTGGGTTGGAAGATTCATTTTTACCAGGATTATGGTAGCAAACAGATAAATAAATAGATCCAAAATCTTTTAATGCAGGTAGACTACAATTAACGTTTTCTTTACATCTGATAACCGCTCAGAGGTTGAAAGATAGATGACCTAAACTAGCCTCTTTTTTCTGTATCTATCAATTCAACTGCTCGTGTAGAGCAAGTTATTATGTCATATACTCTAGGAATTTTTATATTCGGGCTCGTAAGCACCTCTCAGTGTGACTGAGCAAAAACGTAGTTAAAACCGTTAATAGCTCATTTTATTCGAACGGGACACACAGTCAACATGGATTAATCTTTCACAATATGTCGTATTAACGACAGTCTATCTAATGCTGTCAGACTGAGAATCCTGCAGACGGCTGAAGAAAATGCTATTCGGATCAAATAGCCAGAGCTGAGTCCAGGAGAAATATGTTCAACTGCTCCCTTTAGCCTGGCCAACTTCGGGCCTAATTAGTTAAAAATCAATTTTGTGGTGTGGTGACATAACTTGAGTATTGTTCATTTTTATATCCTTATCCTATCCACACATCTTACGATTTTCATTATTATAATTATATTGTTATTATTACATTCGCTAACATTTTTGAGAAATTTATTCAGCATTCACTTCTATCTACTAATTCTTAACTAAGTCACAATATTATTTACATATTACTTCATTTGTTACCCGTTATTACACTATTGTTTCTCACCTCATGTTGAGGATATCTATTCTGATCATTTATCTAACAATTCCACTTGACGTAAATGCTTGTTCAAGTTAACACTTTATATTAGACACACAAACGTTGACGATTTTATTTCATATGAAAAAATCCCCAACTCACATGTTAAAATTTCAAATGATGCACTCTGCCTTAAACCTGGCCAATTTTAAGGATTATTAATTTGGATTTCATACTTGTAGAGGCTGATGAGAAATCATTGAAAAGAATATTCTTCGTTCATGTAATTTGTCTGCGATTCGTTATACAAGTTCTGACCTATCTAAAAGACTTCTTTTGGTATTAGGATGTGATATAATCGTTCCTTAAATTTCGGTTAGTTGAAGACTATTTTTAATTCGTAATATTGTTTGCAATTTCACACGTCGAAGTGTGTAACTGGCTGGGGTTCCCGAGGAGTAAGCCCTTCAATGAATTGCAAATATATGATGGTTTGTGTCTAGTTCTAAGGCAGATACGTTGTATACTGTATGGAGTATAAAGACGTCTGATAAGAAGAAGGGAAAGACGAAAACACGCAAACGGTTCAGTTTGTAGGCTGTGTGAAGTTAGCATTGATACCAATTGATAAAAACAAACAATAACAGGTGTGAGATTACAACAATGTCATACTGTAAATAACGTGAGGGGGGAGGTTTTTTCAACGTCAACGTCGACTTATTAGTCTAGTCGTCTCGCCTAGTTTACTGATCAATTAGTTGGTCGGATCAGTATATATAATTGAAGCTGGATAGACATTCATCAAGCTGTGTCGACCTACAGACTTATCATGAACTAGCTTCTGAACCAAGAAGATGAAACGTGTACAGATGTTTCTTACATTTCATTTTCTTGTCACGGCTCTAACACGGTCTAGTCAGTCAGCACAGTTCCCGAACGATTTTTCCAGCAAACCTTGCACTGGTGACGTTGAAGCGCATTTCCGGCCAGTTCGACGGAAGAACTCTCCACATAATCCTCAGCAGTTTTGTTCGTCCCCAATTAGAGTACGGAAACAAGGTGTTTCTTCCCTTACTCCAAAAGGATAACAACACTCAGGAGAGTATCCTACAGTGAGCCACGAAATCAGATCGGGGACTCAAATTCAAGCCTTATGATTAACACCACCAATCACTAAATCTTACCCATTAGAGTACGGCCGTCTTAGAGGTGACCTTCGAATGGCTTAAAGCACCTCAAATACTTATGGGCTTCCCCTTAAACACCTAATTAAGCTTGGTGTCAACAGAAAACTTAGAGGTAACACCCAGAAACTGGAAAAACAATTTAGCAGAAAAGACTGTAGACACACCTTCTAAATCCTAAGAGTAGTCAAACGCTGGAGTTCGCTGCCGACTGAGTAAGCCCAAGCGACTTTCCAGGAGTTTTCTAGAAGAAGATTGGATATATTTTTAAGGTCCTAGGACAGTATCTCACTATAAATTACCAACTTCTTTCTTTTTCTTCCTTCATCGTCAGTGTGCTCAGATGCATTAATGACCCACTGCCACTGGTTACAGAAGCCTGTTAAGTGAAAGTTTCTACTCCATCCAGAATCATTTGAACTATTTCTAGCCAGTGAAGTTTGAAATTCAATGTCCTTGTCATAGGCGGCTTTTCAAATTAGTAGATCCCTAGGTTGGGGTTACTATTGTAATATTTTGCATCATGATGGTGCTTCATATATTGACTTAATAACTCCTAAATAACAGTGATATGGTCTGAGTGGAGTTAATTATTAATGGTTAGTTTTTAGATTTCTATTTGGTCATAAAAAGTTGAAGATTCGGAATAGCATTATCTTATATGATAATCCTATAGGATAACACATTACTGATCATAGTGTATTACCGCTTCCATTATATGGTTAAAGACCGTTGCGATACGATGAGGAATTGCGAAGTCCATTGTTTGAACTCTTGGGGTTTGTAACAGTATGAACTTATGGAGTATCGCTGGAAGTGGCGAGACTACAATTTGTTGACGAACCAATAAAATTAAAGATAGCGAGTCTTGGATTTCGAGCATAATTCATTCTTCTATACTGTTAGGTAGCATTTTGGCGTTATAAGTGATGGTAGTTCGCGACGAAATTCCTTTTTTTAATTTCTATCCCTAACTTATAACTCTAAACCGTATTATTTTAATTCCTCATGCCAGTTTATAACCCTTTCTTAACCCCAATAAGTAGGTCAATTTTCTCAAGGTCACCCAAAGGTTGTCCATAAATTGTATTCTCTCCGTGAAAGTTGATTACAACCACACCAATGAGTCCGTCGTCAATTTTTTTAGACACTGAGCCTGAGATGATTGGATGCATTTGGTCCTTTGGCTTAGTTCCCTTATTCTGGACAATATTTGTTTCTAGTTTTTCAATACCACTAGTTATTTCTACTCTTCACGTTGTTGTTTTTTCCTGACTGTTCTCATGCAGTGCGTAGCAGCCTGAACCGATATAGGTTTCTGATAACCTCGTGGTCATTTCTGATTAGATAATTGTTCAAAAATAAGTGTAATAGCATAGTAAAGCTTCTAGGGAGACTAGAATACATGAACGACTTTTTAATACTACTAAAGTACCCTTTACTTTTATTATAAATAATTAACATCCTTAGTTGGAGTAATTCTTTCTGGTTATATTCTTACTAACTGAGCTGTATCTCTTTATTATTATTATTATTATTATTATTATTATTATTATTATTACTCACACACTGATTTCCGTTCGTTGCTCTTTTATTATATTCACTTTACAATTTCCATCTCTTTATAACCTCGTTGTTTTTCTGTGGTTCATGTGTATTTGGTGCCCTTCTGTACCGATGTTTGTGCGTTCAAATAAATAAAAGTATCCTTGTGATACTCCCATCGTTCGTTAGGGTTGAAATTAAGTTATAAATAAGTGTGAGGAATCAGGATCAAGAGTTAGCTTTATAGAAAGTAACGTTGTAGTTCTGATCACGGACCGACATGAGGTATGGTGCGTAATTTCCATTTACCCGTATGAATGAATGGATTTCACACTGAAACGCGAGATCAATTGTTTTGAATCTGATTGGTTCGTTTATAAATTATAGTTCTACCAATCTAGTTTATTTTTACAACATTGTGGGAAAAAATATAAGTCTGAAAGTCATCAGCGTGTGATATTCAAATATCAGCCTAACGTTTTGTCAGTCGACTGTTTAGTGTATAAGGCCTGTTTGATTTAGCCCTGAGATAGACCGTTCAGTTTATAAAGAATATCCATAAAGCTGACGGTTACCAACGCGTAATAGTCATGATCAACGTATGTATGATCTAAGATGTAATATGTGTGGTAGTATACCACTTTTTGGTTCCTTGGTCGAGTTCTAGCTTTATATATACTTTGGGATGTTGTGCATCTGACTGGATTGCCGAGTATATATTTCCTATGTATTTGTTCGTTTTTCAATGGTAAACGGATGCATCTGCCAGTTTTTCCATCACTAAAATAATACTTTTGGAAACTACGTTATTAAAGTATTGATCATTCGTTAAAAATCTTTCAGTATTTTCTATTTAATGTCATATTTCGTCGTATTTTGAATTCGTTTGCTTTCAGGTGTTAATTGGTTACTACCTGTCTACTATTCATTAACATTGATATATTCAAATGGATTCATCAGAAAAACGAAGATTAAATAAACTGTTAAGAAAGCCTTCATCATCATCGCTTGGAAAAGCTCTAGGTTTGAGACAGAAGTTGTCTCGTACTTCACAAAAGCAAGCCAAATGTGCATCTGTTGTATCTGAAAAGGTACCCAAACAGGAGATTAATGTTGATGTTGCTACTTTGTGTGCTGAGATGTGTGGTGTTTCTAACCTATCGCAATCTGCAGCTAATCTTCTTCAGAAACACTTAAATCAAATAGCTCGACTTTTAATTCATGAAGTCCTTCGAGTAATGGAACAAAGTCGTCGAGGTGTCCCTCAAGCGTCCGATATTGACTTGGCTTCAGTTTTGATCGGACTTGAAGCAAGTTTTCACAATAACTATTTCATAATGAAATTTGTATGGTAATTTATTCTTACGAACCTGTACAAGTTTAAGGTTAACCGATTCAAATGTGACTGCTCATAGTTATTGTCGAGTAAATATTCTGTGCCTCCGTAATTGTAATACTAATTTGGATAGATTTTCTACTGTCATATAAATTTTGTAACTGATGCATTAGTTCATGCCCTAGATTTTTTTTGGGCCGTATGCCGTGTCTTGTAGATACTACTTGCATGTCAAACCGCATTAAGTAATGAGTATTTCAAACAAACACGCTCATTTTCTTTTGAATACATGATTTTTAACTTCACACTTGTGGTATGACTGATTTGAAGACTAAAGAGAATATTATGATGTTATTTGAAAAGGACTGAACTATACTATCCACGGCTTTTAGAAAGCATAGTTTTTCTCTTCTCTAGAGTTATCACTCAAATCATTTAGATTGAAAACCAAATCCCACTAAAAGTACATCACACTGATGTAGTTCTGAGTGTGCAATATTTTTATAATCCTGTTATTCCAGTCTAGTAGTGGTAAATCAGATGACTGAAATTGTCAGCCACATTGTATTTTCTCCATGCTGATATTGTCTCGATCCACCAACTTTAGACTTATTTTCTTTTAACAAAACGTAAAGATTATAGTAACATCTGGTAGTAAACTCAGTATTTACTTGGACATAAAAACTGGTGCTAAACGTATCAGTATTCTGTTTATTATTATTATTATTGTTATTATTATTGTTATTATTATGAACTATAGTTATTAGAGAAGAAACGTGTATTTATTTTCACTAATGTTTTCAAAATATCAGTAACCAGTGCCTAAGTTAGTTATTTTAAATTTGGACTAATTGTTGATTGACATAACCAAACGAATGTACGCAGACTTTTTTTACCCTGTCTTTGTACGCATCTACTTGCTCCAAGTTTATTTTCAAAAATTCCATCAAAGGATCAAAGAAATCAATACATTTCCGTGAGTGGAAACCCTCAAGTTTGGAAGTCTTTTTGAAATACGGGTTGCCACCAATTTGTGGTGTTGTGGCTGGTTCTATGTCGAGCCCATATAGTTTATCCTAGCTTCTGGACAAACCAACTTATCCATTCTCCTCAATCTACATTTTGACCTTGTTAATTATTATCTTGTCAACCTTGACTTTTTATATGAGAGAGTGTATGTGTGTATTTCCTCTTACTCATCACTTCTGAAACTTATTTGATCTGAATATAAATATTGATTCACCCTTAAGTAAGTGGAATTGGCTCACAAGCCTTTCCTACCGCGCGTCATTTCGCTCTGCTCTCTTCCCTTCGCATCCTTCGATTCGTTTCTCTAATTGTCTGTCTAGATCAATGAGTGTACAGAATATACGTATTCAAAAACCTATTCTCGTATTTATCTTAATTCCGTTATTCACGAACGCGATTCAAGTCGATCATTATATACGAGGATTAGCGACATGTATATTCCAATAACAGTCATTCACACGATACAATTAATGTCAGGTCTCCGGCCACAAAAGTTGTTCTTCAGATGGTTGAAAGTTTTATTTATATTTATTCAGTGATGGCATCATGGAATGTTAAATTTCATCCAGTATACAATACGTTCCCTCTTATTTATTCTTTAGATATCATTTGTTGTCAACTAGAATCATGAAACATAAAATCATGGACTCTTATTAATATAAGCCTACATCCTTGTTATTTATTGTTTATTTTATTTGAACACATAAATATTGGTACAAGAGGGTACCAAATATATATGTGCCACACAAAACAATGGGAATTTAAGGGGAAGGAAAAATAAGAGAATAATAACGAAGAGATTGATGTAAGGTGGTGTAATGATGATAATAATAATGGTAAAAATGGAGGAACGGAAAGGTACAATCAGAAGAAATCTTTCAGCTAAGGAAGACACAACCACTTTTTATGAAGAAAGTAAAAGAAGGTTACAGCAGGATCGCCACTGGCTTCTATTCTGAGCCATATCTGATAACGTCTCTAGCCACTGTGTAGTACCATCTCTAGGACCCCAGCCAGGGAGTCGTGAAGGACCAACACAGGCTAACCCTTTGCAGCTTTCTTTCATGCCACGACACCATGTCATATACTGACCACCTCTCCGCTTTTTCCAACCAGTCCCAGAGTCGGCAAATAATGCACGACGTGGAATTCTCTGGGACGACATTCGTAGAACATGTCCAAGCCACCGAAGTCGGTGTTTCAAGATGGTGACACCAATTGATTATCATCTCTGTGCCCGAACACACGATGCCGAACCTCTGCATTACTGACATGGTGTTGCCACTGAATGTCAGCAATCCTTCGGAGACAGCGATGATCGAACACAGAGAGTCGTCTAACGTCCTCAACTCGGAGAGGCCAGGTTTCACAAGCATAGAGCAAAACTGCTCTCACCGACGCGTTGTAGATCCGACCTTTTACAGCCAGACTAACATCACGAAGGCGCCAAAGGTGGCCCAGATTGGCATAAGCCGCTCTGGCTTTCACTATACGTGCATTGATCTCATCACTCACACCCCCACCAGCACTTATGCAGCTACCCAGATACACGAACTTCTCGACTACGTCTATCTGCTCACCATCCAGGGTGAGTACAGGATTAGAATCCTGCCAGTCTTGTAGAAGTACTTTGCACTTCGAAGGTGCAAAGCACATACCATACCTACGGACACTGATTGCCAACTGATTAAGTGCGGATTGCATGGCTTGGGCATTATCGCACACTCAAGATCGAGAAGTCTTTCTCCAGGCAACAGATCCACACCACCATTACTTACATTCATCAGAGCTGTTTCCAGAATGTCATCGATGGCAAAGTTGAAGAGGAATGGTGAGATTGGGCAACCCTGCCTAACCCCACTGCTCGAATGGAACAATGGAGAGAGGTGGTTGTATGCCCTCACTCTGCCTGAGGTGTTTGTATATAGGGCTTTTAGGATGTTAATAAACTTCTCAGGCACACCCTTCTTCAATAGACAATCCCAGAGAACAGTCCTGTCCAACGAATCGAAGGCAGCCCTGATGTCAAGAAACACTACGATTGTTGGCCTTTGATAAGTATGGCGGTGTTCTAACATTTGGCGGAGGGTGAAGATATGATCAATACATCCTCGACCAGAACGAAACCCAGCCTGCTCCTCGCGAGTCAATCTTTCTCGGGTTTTGAACAACCTACGAAGTATGACGGAAGCCAATAGCTTGGACGCAATCGGAAGTAGACTTATCCCCCGATAGTTGTTACAGGAACGACGTGAACCCTTTTTAAAGATAGGGACAACTATCGACTCATTCCATGACGTTGGTACACTCTCTAGTTCCCAAACCTTTGTAAACAACGTCGTCAATTCCTTAGTCAAAAAGTCACCACCATCTTTAAAAAGAGCCGGAGGTAAGTCATCTGGGCCAGGTGATTTGTAACGCTTCAAGAGTTGGAGTTCCTTGCGGACTTCCTCCTCATTTGGTGGATCAGTCGTCACCGGCCATGGAGGGCAGGACAGTCTGACCGATGTTGCCGGAGCAGCAGGCCAGTTGAACTGCCCTTCGAAAAATTCTGCCCATCGTCCAAGACGTCGATGGATGTTAGTGATTGGCATCCCATCATCCTCGCAGATTGTTTCACTCACACCAGACTTCTTGCTGCCAGTGGCTCGGATGAGTTGGAAGAGCTTCCGGTAGTTACCAGATGCAGCTGCTGCTTCCAGCTCATTAGCACGCTCCGACCACCAGGCTTCGCCCGATTTCATTACGTAACATCCTTCGTTTGTGGTCAAACTCACGGTCACCCGGAGTAGACCGACGGGCTTCAATGAGTTGTAAGGAACCTGAAGAAACCCAGTGCTTATAAGCGGGACGTTTCGCAAACCCACAACTGACTTTACCCGCCATTTTCATGGCGTCATGCAATTGCAACCAATGCTCATCTATACTTTTCGGTGGAATGGTAGCTAGCCTAGAAACTAGCTCGGTTCGATACTTATTTGCAACAGAAGTTGCAACCAGCTTGCTAATATCAATCCGTTGATGGCGGTCACTTCGTTGGCCACTGAAAAGTAAGGTAAGATTGGCGCAGACCAAGGCATGGTCAGAGTCCAGATAGGTACTCCAAAAGGAGCGGCAGTCTTGTACACAACCACGCCAGCGGTAGCTGATCGCGATGTGATCAATCTGAGTCCAGGCTTGAGATGCAGAGGGAGGACGCCAGGTGGCACATCGGCGATGACTGTGCCGAAAGTTAGCGCTAGCCAGAAACAGGTTGTGGTCTGTGCACAGTTGCAGTAGACGGTCCCCGTTATCTGTCCTGTGACCAACAAGTCCCCATCGGCCACCTAAACGACTCTCTTCTGTGCCTAGACGCCCGACCTGAGCATTCAAGTCTCCGGCTAGTACTACAATATCTGTCGAACGCACTTTCTGGAGAAGAACAGTTAACTGGTGGTAGAATTCATCCTTGATTGCATCCGGGCTGCAATCTGTCGGGGCATAGGCGGAGATGACGAAAAGACATCGTTTCTCACGCCGATTTCTTCTCACTTTGATGGAACTCTCTAATCTAACAGCACATAACCGACTGTTAATGGGGATCCAATCGATTAGTGCTGCCTCAGCTCTAGCGCTTAGTGCGACACCAACGCCAGCAAGACCAGACGAAGATGCCACAGGGTCCCCGGATAAGCGCACGTAAAACAAGCTTTTCGAAGCGACAGATGAAGAGCGAATTTGTAGTACTTCACCAGAGTTTTGAATAAGGGTCTCGGATAAATAACAAACGTTGATATTAAGACTTTCTAAAGAAATAGCCAGCCCTATCTGTTGTCCAACCTGCATTAGCGTGCGAACGTTGAAGGCAGACAGTTTGAATGGCGCACGTGAGGCGATGCAGTCCTATATGGGCTACCATATGGTAGCCGGTGACCAACGATTTGTTCATACTCCATTTGTTCCCGCAGGATACTGGAGCCCATGTGCATCATTGGTTTGGGATCCGGTTAAATCACCGGACATTCGCTTTTCGTCCTCTTATTTTCGTAAACAATAGTGATGCCATGAGGAGGCGGTGAGTAGGACTTCCCTGGCAGAGGCTGTATATGCGTGGCCATATGTGAGCATTTCGAGAGGGAGGGCGGACCCACCCCACTCTCGTCCATACCAGGGCATTTGGGGGCATACATCCTTGTTCTTCTCTACCATTATAAGTAGTCTAGCTGGTAGAAAGCTGTTACTACTATTCATTGAATATGTATCAGTTTAATGTACAGGTTTACTAAATTTTTATTTTATACCAATACTGCTATAATATTCCCTTTAAATACCCCAGGCAATTTGTTATTCGTATTAATTCCTTGCAACCTAGTCGTTTCATAATTAGTTTCATTTCAGTCCTCGTTTTTACCAAATTTTCTTAATCAGAAATAGGTATTTCTGAGTAATATTATTATTTCCCCAACAGAGTCCTTTCGGAACAACTACCGCAAATTTTCTCCCAATTCGTACAGGTGGTCGTACCGCAAGTTCAGGTCCTGGTGGCAAAGTTTTTTTCATTCGACCAGATAAAGAAATCGATGTCAAAGCTTTATTACTTCGTGAACCAGCAGGTGTTGTCTACGATGTTAGTTTAGTTGGTAAGCAGAATTTATGCGATCTGGGACACGTGAATAGATTGACTGGTTTTTTTGTTAATGTAGACTAACTAGTATGTGTAATCGGTTGGAATGGTTGCGTTTGAGTTAGTTTTACTTTTAGGCGATTTTTATACTTGTTTCTAAAAATTGCGCAAAGCTGAAAAGTACTCAAGCTATCTTCAATCAATCAATGTTTTTAGAAAGTCGACAAAGGAGTTTAGACATCTATTAATTTGTCCTTACCAAGCTAGATCAGTCAACTTATTACTCATGTTGCACCTTTTTCAAATAGTTCAAGGATTTCAGGTTGACTGGTATCCATGCATATACCATTTAGTTTCAGTAATCAAACTAACCTCAAAAGTGGATTCGTCACATTTCCGTCCTCTGGTTCCATTCAAAACTTTAGTGGTCTTGGACTATAAGGATCTAAAACCTTGTTAAAAGGTTAATGTAGTAGGGATCCACCGTACCAGTTATTTTGTTTTTTATGTTCCTTCCCTCAATTTATAATTCGTCACCACAAACAACCAGTCATTGTACATCAAGCAATGTGGTCCTTTCTATTACATTGATGATGGAAGTTTTTCTATCAAATTATGCTGATTTTGACCAGTTTCAGTTGTGTTAGTTAGTTTTTGGTGGAGTTTTGTTCTTCGAGCTGAGTGGTCTAATCGCGAAGCTTTCTTGATCCTTCTGAAAAGCATCGTTAATACAAACTCCAGATAGAAATGAGCCATTTGAATTTCCCCATAGACATTTCTTGTGAGTCAGACCGAAGGTCCCCGGTCCGACCCCTCGTGGTGGGGTCTTGGCTACTCACTGCTGAGGAGCCCCATGCTAGGAAAAAAACAGCTATCCGTTGCTATCAGGTTTTAAAGAGTTATCTAGCTTAGACCGATTTTTAATCTTAATGACGCTCAGCAATCTCCACAAACTTTCACACAGATCGAATTGTTCTTATCAATCACTATATAAAACATGTTTATATACTGTAGATCTGATTTAGTCATATGAAGTAAAACATATTCTTACATTGTGATTCACTAAATATATAGATATATATTTGTATTACTTCATTTCAGCTCATTGGTTGTCGGTAAATGGAAAACAGCCTACATCACACAGAATCCGCCACCGGATTTTTTAGCAAGGATGGCTTTGTTGAATAATTCATTTGGATCTCACAATAAACAAAATAAACGACCAATTGGTCACAAAAAAGATGATGATATAAATTCATCAGTTGAAAAACATTCTAAAATTGGTATACATAGTAGTAACCGAGATAAATTAGATTTATTATCAGGATCTCATCCAAGAAAAGTTTTAGCAGTGTCTGTCGAAGTAAATGCTGATTTAAGTCATTTATTTTTATGTTAATGTATTCTAAATAAATATATATGCATTATACTGAACTAAAAATTTAAAATAATGGTGTCGTTATTAGTTCTGATAATTTAATGCTAGTTTTTGGGATACTTTTCATCAGAATTTTTATCAACTGACCAAAAGGTACTATCATACTGTCGTGTTTAGTGCCGTTTTCAAAGTTTCCTAGAAGTTGTGTAGTTGTTATTTGTTTAAGGATAGTATTTCAGTTTTTAAAATATTGCGCAAGGTCCCTAACGTTTGGTAATCTAAAAATATCTAGTTGTTGGTTTGATAGGACTGTACCATTAGTCAGCTCCCGATAGGTTAGTAATTAGACGACACTTATCTTTTAACCAAATATGTCACGAGTTCGAAACCACTCTAATTGGTATAAGCTGAAACAATAATAATGTTGCTAACCCTGAAAGAGTAGTCGTAACTCAAAGCCTTGAGTACATAATCCTGTGCCTGGTAAATGATGATTCATTTATTGTATTCAGTTAGTTTAACATCGATGATCAGTGGTGCGAGAACGTAGTAAAAAAAATTATACGGTAACGATTGTATCGTATCTCAATAGTAAGTTTTTCTAATAACAGATTTTTAGTTTAATTCGCTTGAAATCTCTGAAATCACTTCATACTCACTCTCAGTAGATCATAATGGACATAAAATTGATCAAAGTTTGAAGTCGAATCCATTAAATGTTCAACAATGATTCTTGTTATGCCGAGGAGAATGTGACTAGTCACACGATGTTTCAAAGCTGCACGGTAGAATAAATACGAATCTGGGTGATCTTTTTTAAACAATTTGATTATTCACCTAACCAACGTCATTACTTACATGTTGTTACTTAGGTTATGGTACAAATATGACTTGACTTAAGTTGTCAAACATCATATCAGCACGAAGAAAAAATATTAACAGGTGTAAAGTCATAGGAGTTGAAATATCAATGACACTGATAATATAAAAATATTCCGAACCGAAGTAATAGGAAATGATTGGAATAAATACGATTGAGGAGTGAGAAGTAAAGGGTAATTCCAGGCTCACGATCTCGAAACAAATGAAGAGTTAACATATTTGTGCTACTGTTACCGCTTTTAATTCGTATCATCTATGATATTTGACCACAAATTGTGGTTATCTTGAGGACCCAAATTAAAAGGTTTCTACTTTCCGATATATCTCAAACCAACTGTCCTTGACTTCATGGATAAACACCATGTCTTGGTTTTTTTAGTTTTATATCAACTATCATTACGCGTTGAGGTAGGTGGTGACTAGCAATGCTTGATACGTTTTCCGACTACCTTGACCGATGAAGATTCACAGTTTCACCAACCGGTTTATTGTCGTTACCTAGTACCCCACACCTAACATCAGGATTATTCGATTATTCTGATATATGCAAACGAGGCCCTAGAGTACCAACAAACTGTATACCGTGTTATACATTTTCTGCCAGCCTCATATGCATATTTGTGAGTGGAGTACTGATAAACACCTAACATTAATCGTTGATTCTGTATCTACTATCTATGTTTTATTTTTTTTCCCCACTTTTTTTGCTAGCGTCGTTCTCATGAAATCAGTCAAGAGGTGATGATTTACTTTCGTGAATTAACTGAGGCATGTGTTGGTGCTAATGAAACTCGACGACATGAGGCTTTGGACAATGCTACATTAGATCCAGGACTTCAGCCAATATTACCTCATCTTATGACATTCATTACAGAGGGTGTATGTTTTTGCTTGTTATTTTTAAAAAGTAACCTTAATAAACATTTTATATACTCAGTTTATTGAAACAGTCCTTTAGTTTTCAAAACACTAAGGTATTAACACTAAGTAATCTACCACTATCAGTGAGAATGATGCGATAATGAGGACTGGTTTTCTGTTGACTAAAAGTTGGACTTGAAAGAATTGTGATTCTTATCCAGTGAGTGAATTACGTTCGCTTGATTCCACTGCATATTTTCATCACCTACCGTTGTTCTAGGTTTCAGCTCCTCTGTTGGTTTGGATGTAAAGTTATTTGGCAGATATATCAAGACATTGTAGATAGCTAAATGGGGCGACACGTTCTCGATTATTACTGATACATCATCACCTTGTTTCCCCATTCTTACCCCATTAATTTCCACGGTAATGTTGCAAGTGTTAGCTTTTGCCTGTCTGTTTTTGTATAATTTACTCCATACCTTCGCTAATCACATCTTCTATGGCTGGTCTTTCATATTGCCTCTAATACTGTTTCTACTTTAATTACTCTGGGACTTGCCTTGACAATTTCGTATCTCTGTGCTAATGAAGTGTTCCAACTCAAACCAATGTATGGATGTACCAGGCTCTACGCTGCGTATGACTGACGATTGATGAAGCACAACTATTGAATTTATGGTTTTCTGTTATATGAAGTTAAGGGTCAATGGGCAATAATCAGCTGTTAAACGCCACTGGATTAGTTTCTTATATATAAAATAGGTACAACTTATAGCTTAATAACTAAAGCTATACGTTGGGACTTAGTTGCAGTATTTTGTTACTCACTTATGTTTTGGCATTTGGGTTATGTAGAATAATAGTTTGAAACCGAACAACTCCGTATTTATTATATAACTTAGCAATGCAATCATCCAATCTCACCAGTGATAAGTATCTTACTTTTGACATATTTGTCAACTAAACTCACCAAACGGAGATTTATATGCTTGGCTTGCCACACTCAAAATGTATACTCTGTACATCTATCCAGATCGAAAAAGATACAGTGGTGTTTAAACCCACAAGTTGGTGGTTAAAAGTCGAATTTCAACCAATGAGTCATCGCTCCATCTGTTCTATAAGATGTATGTTTCATTGTTAATTTATAGTTAATAGTTGAATGGTTTCCTTTTTAAAACTTATTTTTTAACTTGTCAACAGTCAACCCACTTCTCTCTTATTGCTATAAACCGACCTAAGTTAAAAAAACCATTAAAAACCTGGGGGCTCCAAATGAGTGGTTTATCCTAGTGTGGGACTCCTCAGCAGCGCGAATCCATGACCCAACAACCAGGAGTCAATCTCAAGACCGATCACACGCTCGAACGTCTAACTTCTAGACCACTGAGCCGGTATTTAATAGTGTGCATGTCTAACTTCAATCAATATCCTTGTTCAATTTTATTTTTTGTCTTGGGAATATACATTTACATTTGTTCATCTGTCTATCTATTTATTTTTATTCTATAGGTAAGAATCAATGTAACTAATCATAATCTTGCTATATTAATTTATTTAATGCGATTAGTTAAAGCATTAATTGATAATCCGCATATTTCACTGGAACCATATTTACATTTACTTGTGCCTACAGTGATCACATGTGTACTTAATCGTCAATTATGCGCTAAGCCAATTACAGATAATCATTGGGCATTAAGAGATTTTGCTGCTAAACAATTAGTAACTTTATGTAATAGGTAAGTTATATGTATATGCGCAAATTTTACTGCTTCTTTTGCACGTGTGTGTGTTGCGTAGGTGTTTTATTCATTAGATAGGTAGTTTTTCCGATTGAGAAGAATGGACAGCATAACTTACAGCCAGTGGTTAATATGATTGCTCAATTCAATAGGATTGAATCTTCATTTTTTAGAAGGGATTTTACATTTTAATTTATCAGTTCGATATGATCTATAAAAATAAATTCTATGTAAGAAAACTTATCGTAAGGTTTAATTTGTTGTCGTAGAGTAGATTCCTTATTATGGTTCGGATCTAACTACATAAGATGAACTCTAACGCAATAGGGAGGTAAGGGCAGTAATAATTGTTGACCTACTACCCAATGCTATTCAGAAGATAGAATAATGTTGAAGGTTTATTCTCGCTCAAACCGACAATGGTACAGGGAAAAATGCGCAGGTATTTATACATTTCCTTATGTGTCCTTGGGAATCATGCATTTAGGGTGAGAATTTCACGGCTCCTGATAAAACAGTATGTTCTCAGTTTCAAAACTCGAAATGAGAGTTTATCAAAAACATTTTTGTTGTTGGAATCTAATCGAATTATGGTGAAATAATACATTTTCGTAGCACGTCCACACATTTTAAATATTCTATAATGATATATTTCCAGATCCACTCACTCAGACTATTGATAATTAAAATTCTATTTTGAATTCTTCACCAACAAATCGAAGTGGTCACTTCGAATTTGATTATCTCAAATTATTGTATGGTTTTGTAAGTATCATAACCAATGTTGATTTAATAATTTCTAATAAATTATACATTTGGGTAGATTGTCAGTAATAGAAATTGTGATGTATTTGTTAGGTCCCAATGAGTAGAAAATTAGATTCCTGACGTTTCATGAATTAGTGTAAACCATTTCTTCAGAGAACTCCGCCTTTAGCTCTTCTAGGGCTAATGCCTGTCCAAGCCCACACAAAGGAGGAGGTTTGGGCGTAGTATCGGCAACTCCATTCCGTATAAAACAACCTTGCTAAAAAAACGCTAATCAAAATATGCAATTTAAACTCTGCCCTCCTAGTTGAAGGATCTTCTTTCAGAAGAATTATGATGCCTCATGGTGAAAGCTCAGATTCTTCGAAAGTCATGAGGTCGATGTCCCTTCCAACAGCCAGAGCAACAATTAGTATAAGTCCACGAAATGTTCGGAAAATGTGGGGGACCGACAGGATCATTCAATGACTACGGAAATGAGTAGATACAACTTGACAGTGCTTAGGATCAGATAAACCCATTGCACCTAAGCTGGACAACAAAGGTAAGATACGGGAGAGAGGCTGCTGCACCCCGGTCACGAAGAGGAAAATGCTCCACACACTCAAGGAGTTGCTCTGATGCTGTCCAAAGAAGCGCGAAATACACTTATAGGATTGAAATCTCATGGGTCGAGGATCATCAAAACACCATTATAAACAAAGGAGGGAATTACAATGAATATTGTCCAATGTTATGTAGCCACCAATGACAGAAATGACGACGATAAACATCAGTTCTACGAGAGGTTGCAATCGATCATAGCGAAGTATCCGGGAAAGGATCTGACAATCCTGATGAGAGACCTAAACGCCAAAGTCGGAACGGATAACAACGGTTATGAAGATATCATGGAACAGCATAGAATGACTGTGAGAAAAGGAAGAGAAAGACGAGAGATTTACAAATTTATATGCATTAAACAAATAATTATTGTTTTTGATTGAGATCATGAACCGATTGATGTTAGACCATCTTTGGAAACCTGGAAACACTGGACGGCCGTTTCGTCCTATTGTGGGACTCCTCAGCAGTGCGCATCCGCGGCCCCGCTTGCGGGATTCGAACGCAGGGCCTTCGGTCTCGCGCGCGAACGCTTGACCTACTGGATCACTGAGCCGGCATCCAATGGTGATAGTGTCTAACATCAACCAAGCCACGAACTTGCGCGACCAGTGGAGCTAATCCATGTCGGGTAGAGACAGGTGTATCTACCTCAGTATAATGGAAGTTAGTCGCGCAATTTCGTGGATTGGTTGAAGTTAGACACGCTATATTCCCCCACAAACGCGTACACAAAGTCACATGAGTCTCACCGAATCACATCATGAAGAACTAGATAGATCATATTTGCATCAGTAAAAAATTCAGAAGGTCAATGGAAGACGTGAGAACCATGAGAGTAGCTGATATAGCTTTGGATCATCACCAACTGGTGGTTGCCAAGATGAAACTTAAGCTAAAGAATCATTGAACAACTTGACAAACAGCATTACAAAGGTTCAATACAGTCTTCCTTCTAGATAATGACAAACTCAACCAATTCAAGATAACATTCAACAACTGGTTCCAAGCCTTATAGGATCTACTGAAAGAAGGAGAATAAACTACTATGGAGGACAGCTGGAAAGGGATCAAAGAGGCACTAACTTCAACGTGCTAGGAGGTGCTGCGTCGCGACAAGTATCATTATAAGGAATGGATCTCTATCGAAACCTTATGTAAAATTCAAGAAACGGAGAATAAACAGACAGCAATTAACAACATTCGAACAAGAGCAGTGAGAGTGAAGGTACAAGCTGAATACAGAGAAGCAAACAAGAAAGTGAAGTAGAGCATTTGAGCCGACAAGCAGAAATACGTAGAGAGCAAGCAACAACAGCGGAAAGAGCTGCAAGAGAAGGAGATATAAAACTACTATATGACACGACGAAAAAAATGGAAAGGAAATGTAGTAAACCAGAATGAGCAGTAAAGGACAAAGAGGGCAAGCCAATCACTGAAATTCAAGGACAGAGGGACAGATGAGTGGAACACTGAGGAACTCTTGAATAGACCAGCTCCATCAACGCAGTATCTACAGACCTTCCTATAGATGTCACCCCACCAACGACCGAAGAAATTAGGATGGTCAGCAGACAAATCAAGGATGGGAAAGCAGCAGGACCTGACAATATACTAGCCGAAGCATTGAAATCATGCATAGAACTAACTACAAGCATGTTCCATGTTCTATTCAGGAAGATTTGAGAGGAACAACAAGTACCGACAGACTGAAAAGAAGGATACCTCATCAATATACCAAAGAAAGGAATTCTGAGAGAATGTGAAAACTATGGAGGCATCACACTACTGTCAATACTAGGAAAAGTTTTCAACAGTGTTGGTGAACCGGATGAAAGACTCAGTAGACACCCAACTTGGAGATCAACAGGGTGGATTCCGTAAGGTTCGGTTGAGCGCAGAGCAAATCGCGGCACTACGGATCATCGTTGAACAAATCAGTTGAGTGGAAGTCGTCACTATACATCAACTTCATTGCCTATGAGAAGGCGTTGGACAGTGTGGTTCGGAGGGCATTATGGAAACTTTTTCAACGCTAAGGAGTACCTGAGAAGATCGCCAACATCATCCGGAATTCATACGATGGACTACAGTGCAAAGTGGTGCATGGAGGACAGCTGACAGATTCATTCCAAGTGAGGACCGGAGTCAGAAAAGGTTGCTCACTCTCCCTGTTTCTTCTGGTGGTTGACTGGATTATAAAGACTTTGATATCTAGAGGGAAACACGAAATACAGTTGATAGCTTGCATGTAACTAGACGATTTGAACTTCGCACATGACCTAGCCCCTCTATCCCATACACACAAACAAATGCAGATGAAGACAACTAGTGTAGTAGTAGCCTCTGCAGTAGTATGCCTCAACATACACAAGGGAGAAAGCAACACACTCAAATACAACACGGAGAACACCAACCTAATCACACTTGATGGAGAATCTCTGGAAGAGTTGGGAAGTCTCACGTGTCTGGTTGGCGGCATCATTGACGGAGAAGGAGGATGTGATGCAGAAGTGAAGGCGAGGATTGGCAAAGCTAGGACAGTATTCCTACAGTTGAAGAATATATGCGACTCAAAACAACTGTCAACCAATGTCAAAGTCATAATGTTCAATACTCACGTCAAGACAGTCAGTTCTACTGTCCGGAGTTGAAACTTCGAGAACTACCACAACCATCATCAAGAAGGTGCAATTATTTATAAATAGTTGTCTACTCGAGATACTCAATGTCGATTGGCCAGATACCATGAGTAACAACCTACTATGGGAGAGAACAATCCAACTTCCAGCTAGCTGTGGAGGAAATGAGGAAGAGATGTTGGAAGTGGATATGACATACATTGTAGAAATCACCAGACTTCATAACGAAGCAAGTGCTAACATGGAATCGTGAAATGCAATGGAAACGTGTAAGACGAGATAGCAGATCGAGTGGAGAATTGGAAGGAGATATGAAAAGAATGAATAGCAACTGGAGCCAGGAAGAGCTGGAAAGGATTGTGCAGTACAGAGTTGGGTGTAGAATGCTGTTGAGTCGTCTATGCTCTTCCATGATGGGTAGCAGGCGTATGCAAGTATGTAAGTAATTTCTTCAGAGAATAAAATTAAATAACAAATTCAATAAACACAAGTTTACAAAGTACAAAAGACATAAAGCATAAATATTTTCAGTGCAATCAAAATTAACATCGACTTGATCAGGTCAATGTCCTGTTATTTCAGTCGAAGTGATTCTGTGTGAGACTTATTTGTGTCTGTGTGTGTGTGTGTGTTAGTGGATGTGGAAAATGTGATATCTGTAATTTCGAAGATTAAGGTTAAGAATATTTGTATGTTTATTAGTGGTATGGAATGTGAACAGGATTCAATGCGTGGATATTTGTTAAAATGGTTCATGTTTGATGAATCATTAGTCTTTTCTTTCTATTATGCTCAGGATGGTTTAAGAGTATTTGATTGTTATAATATGACTTATTTGTTTTCGTAATTCATGTTTTAAATGAGTATAATAATAATAATAAACGATTGCAATGTGCCATATATATTTTTTCTATCTATTAAATATAATAATTATTCAGGCATAATACGTCTAGTAATGAATTATACGGTCGTGTTACCCGTGAACTTTCGCGTGCTTTATGCAATTGGATTGATGGCGGTAGTACCTCTAATAGTTCTACAGAAACTTGTATGAAATTATCAAATCCTAATGTACCAATAATTGTTAAAAGTGAGCTATCAAAATATACGGATGATGAAAAGTCGGATGAAACGAAATCATGTAAATATGAAAGTGATCGTTTAACCAATTCACTTACAAATACAACATTGGCTACGATTACCACTACTACTAGTCATAATAATAGTAGTAGTATTAATACTACAACTGGTAATTCCAATACTAATAATAATAACAATGGACCTAGTTTAGGCAGTGCTATACATTCAATGAATACGTTATATGGTATAATTGTTGCATTAGCTGAATTCGGTGCACAATGTTTACGAATGATGGTATTTCCATTATTGTCTTCTTTATGTCACCGTTTAACTAAATTAACAGAATCAAATTTTACGTTAAATGAATTAAATGAATTGAATACTTCAGGAAGTAATGATTTAAAGCCTACACAACAACAACAACATCCAGTGCTTTCGTTAAGTTTAGGCGTAAAACTTTTACCGGTTGATCAACGTTCATTTGATTTTCTTAAAGTTATGATGACGGTTAGTTTGTTCTTATATATATATTCGTTTATGTCTTAAATTGTTATTATATACTAAATTCAACCAATTTTTAAATATAATGATTTTGAGGTTAGACCATAGGAGGTACATTTGGCAAACATGATAAATTGGTTGTTGAGACTGCGACTTATCATCGACTAAGGTAGATAAGATGTATGTTACTTGTGCCTAATCATCATCTACCTCGATGAATGATGTCAACTGGTACAGTAGTAAGTTAAAAGGAAGTTAAGAGCGGCTTATCCAAAACATGGCATCAGTTCATGAAGTTGTGGACTGTTGATATGAGCCATGTTGATAGATATAGTTTACCTTGTTGGGGCCCACGCGGTAGCAGCAATCAGTAGTTGAAGACTTTAGGTGATGTTACTTAGAATTGATCACAGTAGTTCAAATACATGGACTATTTATCTTCCTCTTGACCTTCGGTTTCAGTTTTGCTTCATACATATCCTTCCATTTTGTTTTTTTCGAACCATCTTCTTGGTATTCTTGCTACTACATTATTTCGATTCCTTTGCTATTAATCTTGTTCATTTCGTTTGGTCGGACTAATATGGTGTGACAGCTTCGGTCAACGCAGATTTGTGCTGGTCTTTATGTTGACTATGACTGAATGACAACCATTAAAGTAAAATAAGACTTAAGATTCAGTTATAATTTGAGCTATTAAATTCTGAGTGACTTAAATCTTAAGCGTTAAATATCCGAGGATACTCTGTTTCATTAATAAAATCACAAACTTTACAACATAATGATTGTGGAAATTCATCATTATATCTGTGATTAACAATTCATTATTATATAGATTGAGTTTAATTCCAATTATATAAAGAGATATTTGTGTAAATTAGAAAGGGTTTTGTGGAGATTTCTTTTTGGAAATTTCAATGGTTGAAATCATGAGTCGATTTGAAGCTAGACCACCATGGAAAACTTGGAAGCACTGGACGGCCGTTTCGAGACTGATAGGTTCTGGGTTCGAATCTCGCGGGGAGCGGGATCGTGGATGCGCACTGCTGAGGAGTCCCATACTAGGACGAAACGGCCTTCCAGTGCTTCTAGGTATTTTTTGTTGGTCTAGCTTCAACTGACTCATGATTTCAACCATTGGAATTTGCGTAAATGTTAGTAAACAAAAGCGAAGTATGCTCATTAAGTTATGGGCTTATTTTGGAAATTGCAATCGTATCATTAAATGGTGAAAAACATGGAAAGTTTACAAACTAAGGTTAACTGAAAAGCCGTTTAAGACCTAGAGTAATTGAACAGCTCAAGTTATCCGCAACGTTTTCAATATTCAATAAGTTTCTTTGAACTCAACACTTAGTCATTTTTCCGTTCATTTAATAGTTAAATACTGCATATCTTAGTGTCTTTTTCAAGAGAGATTTTATTTCAAACACAAACATATGTTTGTCATCCAAAATTTCATCTGTGCTATACTGGCATGTTAATTTCTTGATGTGAGGGCAACGTTTTCTTTATAATTTTCTTCGTAATCTAACATTTAAATTAATTCATTCATCAGGTACTTGAGTATGGAACACTAAGTCTGAGGAATAATAGTACTACTCCCACCCACAGTTGTCCAAATCAAAGTAGGTCGGGTGTGGTTTGGACCTAGGACTTAGTTGTTGAAAGTCGAACACCTTAGCCAATAAACCATCACTAGTTTCAAATTAAATGTATCAATAAGATAACCTAAGGTAGATTGGGCATTGACGATTCCAATGTTCGTGTGCTTCATTTCTCACATCATGAACTCCCCTGGAGATAACACCCGAAATCCAGACAGAATCCCACTGTCAAAAGTTGCTTATAGTACTAGACAGTTATGGATAATTACAAATACTTGAAATAAAGTCTTTAGTGAAAACTGCACTCTAATATGCATCACTTATATTATTAAGTAGATTTAAAAGTAACTAAAAGCGCAAGGCATACGAGACTTATTGGTTATTAAAAAGGTTACGGATAAGTAGCCTATTGGATAAGGATTTTGTTCTGGCCTAAAACTCAACAATGTACCCTCACGACCTCACCAGGGATTGGATTCTCCTTAGCATCTTAAGGTTTAACGGCATGAGCGCTATCTTTCGACCACTTAATTGAAATCAAACAGTCCACACTTTCAATTCTAGTCGATTCTCCGTATAGCGATATAAATATTCAATACTATCAATGATACTGTTAATCTTACTCTTCATATAGTTCAACTTCACCAGTTGTAACTTTTCATTAGAACACTGAGAATCGATTTCAAAATCACTCGCTTGATTACATTAAATTTTTCTCGTTAAAAATTCTCCCTCTGTTAAAGTTTCCTCTCCATTTTGGTTTCTATCCATAGAATCGTATTGCTCCCTTACTCCATGATTGGCGTATACGTCAAGGATTTGGTGTTACGTTGGAAGATTATCGCGCCTCCTATGAATGTATGGCTGAATGTCTCTTTGTTATCAATCAAAGCAATACTAATACTATTACCAATACTACTACTAATATTAATAGTAATAGTTTAAATACTAATATAATATCAATTACCAGTACTACTACTACTACTGCTACCACTACTAATACTAATACTTCTACTCAACTTGCTGTCAGCAATCCAGTTCACAATCCAACAACTAGTAATGGGACTGTCATTATCAGTAGTATTAGTAGTAGTGCTCCAGTGAATAATCCTACTGTTTCAACTATTACCAGTAATAATAATAATAATAATAATAATAATAATAATAATAATAATGACCTTTCTACATCAACCAGTATTATTGTTACCAGTAATATAACAACTTCCAATGTGAATATGTCTAATAATTAACAAAATTATACAAACTAAACATGTAATTATCACTACAGACAATGTTTATATTTTTCCTACATTTTGTTGTTGTTATTGTCGATGGCATTTCAAAAAAGAGAAATAGAAATAGTTAAATAAAACTTATACATGTAAACACGTATGAATAGTTATATTATTTGTGAACAATTTACTGTTTGTCAAAAAAGATCAATGACACTAGTCATCAGTTTAATATGTGAGCTTGTATTTTCCTAATTTCTCATTGTTTTCATGTAACAATCTTCAATTGTATCTGTTCATATGTAATATATATATAAATGAAGTTACAGTGATAAATCACATATGTATCTACTCAATGGTATATATTTTTTCTTTGAATGGAAATTTCGAAAAGATTTTCTCTTTGATCAGACTGCGTACTTTTCAATTTAAAAGAAAAAGATTTGTGATAACTAGGCTCCTGACCCTAATTATGATTCCTTCATTTGTAGGTAAACATCTTGGGTTTAGATACTATTTATTGAAAATAAGAAAGATTAATTAAGTCCAGACATGTTGTATACCATTGGATTCCAGATCAGTGATCAAGGGATTGAGCGTTAGCTCATGAAACTGAAGTTTCTAGTTTCGACTATTTACTGTTAGGGTTTTGGGTGCATATTTCTAAGGGGGTCTATATTAGGACGAAATAGCTATCCAGTGCTTCTAGGTTGTCCAACTAAGATCATTATGTGAAGTAAAATACGAAAATTTAGCAATCTCGATAAAACCTTATATATTTTAATGGTCAGAAGTGCATGAATTTTGTAAATAAACGATCGATCCAGAATGATTATAACGATAAAAACAAGAATATCAAAGAGTACAGTAAAATTAGGAACGGAATTAGGTAGATTTGTTTCCTCTCACTAACGCGGCTCATTCATGAAGAATATACAAAGAAATTAAGGTGTGGTCATTAATCACTTCGATTTCTTTCACTCTGTCCTATGCATCCAGAACCATTAGGTTTTTATATCACTGACAAGAAACAATACGAAATGGGACAGACAAGTTAGCTACACATTGTGAAATGATAATGTTATGAACAATTTGGATAGGGTAGATCACACAGGCGGTGTCATGAAGTGACCGTTTGTCCTCTTTTCCACAGCGTCGAAAATAGTCTGAGATATGGGATCCACTGGATTAATATTCGTAAAATACGATTGATCTGGTACTTCAGGTCGATTACACCCATAGAATAATCACTATGCGTAACCGGATCACCAGACTGTTACACGGTGTTGCTACCGGATGTGGGAAATCCTTTGAAACAAAAAAGACTTAACATAAGGAGTAATTAAGCATCCTCAGATTGAAGTTAGGTTTCACAAGGGAAGACGAGGACTTTTCTTAAATCCAACATTTTGGATCCAAACTAACGCTATGTAGTTTACCTTGTTTTTCACCATTCATTAGACGAGATCGTTGTGATTATCAGTTGAGGTCTAGACTTGAAAAGTTCCTTAACACCTTATAAGATTTCCTACAAGAGCACCTCAGATAGCTCAAAGATAAAGTCAAATCTGTCTACTACCAATTACTCGATAGACATTGGACACCGAATGGATTTATATGAGGCATTTCAAGTGATTTATTTTAGTTGTCTCAATAGTTTTCGTAAGCGTCTATTGAGCACGGCTGAAGTTATCGTTCTCTATCGTAAAATACCGGATGTTTTCGTTCAGTCGAAATATGTACAACCACCCTCGTTAACTCTGTCCTCAATATCACCGATAATATTATCTAACTGTTTATTCTGGTTAGCGTTCTGAGCTGTCTATTTTAAGAACAGAATACAATGGATAGCTCAGAACTAACTAGACGATTTGGACTTCGCACATGACCTAGCCCCTCTATCCCATACACACAAACAAATGCGGATGAAGACAACTAGTGTAGTAGTAGCCTCTGCAGTAGTATGCCTCAACATACACAAGGGAGAAAGCAACACACTCAAATACAACACGGAGAACACCAACCTAATCACACTTGATGGAGAATCTCTGGAAGAGTTGGGAAGTCTCACGTGTCTGGTTGGCGGCATCATTGACGGAGAAGGAGGATGTGATGCAGAAGTGAAGGCGAGGATTGGCAAAGCTAGGACAGTATTCCTACAGTTGAAGAATATATGCGACTCAAAACAACTGTCAACCAATGTCAAAGTCATAATGTTCAATACTCACGTCAAGACAGTCAGTTCTACTGTCCGGAGTTGAAACTTCGAGAACTACCACAACCATCATCAAGAAGGTGCAATTATTTATAAATAGTTGTCTACTCGAGATACTCAATGTCGATTGGCCAGATACCATGAGTAACAACCTACTATGGGAGAGAACAATCCAACTTCCAGCTAGCTGTGGAGGAAATGAGGAAGAGATGTTGGAAGTGGATATGACATGCATTGTAGAAATCACCAGACTTCATAACGAAGCAAGTGCTAACATGGAATCGTGAAATGTAATGGAAACGTGTAAGACGAGATAGCACATCGAGTGGAGAATTGGAAGGAGATATGAAAAGAATGAATAGCAACTGGAGCCGGGAAGAGCTGGAAAGGATTGTGCAGTACAGAGTTGGGTGTAGAATGCTGATGGGTGGCCTATGCTACTCCAGAAGGAGGAACAGGCGTAGATAAGTAATTAAGTAACAGTCTATTCAATTGGCCAAAAGAACTTGCAAATGAACCATCATCCTTTGTAATAAACAACACTTATCATTTCTTGTTTCCATACATAACTATTGTTGATATTTGGATTTCAAATTATATTACTTAGTTAACCAATCATAATTTGATTGATATTTATTCCATGATAATTTGTAAAACATAAATAAAATCTGAATGTAGTAACATGACATTCAAAAACAAATCAATAATAGAAATGTTTTCGCCCATATCACTTTTTTTCGTTTGTTTGTTTACCAAATAGATAAGTTAAAAAGAACTAGAACTAAAATGTTTAGTAAAATGTATTACTTATATGTATTTTTCTTTTGATATTTTCCATGAAACCCTCGATAAACAACATGAAATTAATAGTTGAAATCACGAGTTAATTGAAGCTAGACCACCATGGAATAGCTGGAAACAGAGGACGACCGTTTCGTTCTAGTATGGGACTCGCCATCAATGTGCATCCACCATTCCGCCGTTGGATGCCGGCCCGCTCAATGGTCTAATTGTTAAAGGCTCGCGTGCAAGACTGATAGGTCCTGGATTCGAATCGCGGATGCGCATTGCTGAGGAGTCCCATACTAGGACGAAACGGCCGTCCAGTGCTACCAGGTATTTTTTGTTTGTCTAGCTTCAACTGACTCATGATCTCAACTATGGAAATTACCAAAAAAAGTTTCCACAAAACCCCCTTCTGATAACATGAAATTAAATCTTTCTTTTTTAAATTATTTAATGTTATGATGATCATGAATATGACATTAAAAATATTAAAATCTATGTACTTATTATGTAAAATAGGGTATATGGTGTATATTTATGCCAAAATTAATATGATAAAGTAAACTGTTTTATAATAATAAGTAATTTGATAATATAAATATCTATTTGTGCAAATGTTCAATTACAGTATTTGTGCGCTATATGAATGTTTTATAATTAAAAAAATCACTAATATATATTTATATATATGACAATGAATGATTGCATAATATTTAAACAAATTCACATTACATAATCAATTTTGATTTTGATTTGTATCCATGGCAATATTGAAAAATCTAATTTGATTTAAAATAAAACAAAGAATCAATATTTTTTTTCAATATTTGGTGTTTAGATATGAATTCGTAAAAGATTCAAGAGTTCAATGAATTATTTGTAACACTGAAGTTTTGAGCAACAACAACAACAACAACAAAAATGGATAGATGAAGATTAAAATGAAACAACAACAAAAAAAAATAACACAAGCAACAATAGATAATCATCATTGAACTACAGAGAAAGAGAGAAAGAGGGGGGAGGAAAGAGAAAAATAAAAGGAAAGTATTGATTATTTTCTTGAGGATATCAATAAAATATCATGAGTTGACATTTTACCTAAGTATCATAGTTTATTAAAATGAATAAATAATTGATGTGTTTATTTATTGATTTATTTATACAACACAAAGGATCCATTCTAGTTTTTGTAGGTTCATTTTCATTTACAAATAAATAATTAATTATCTTAGTTTTAATAATTTTTCCTATTCAACTCATCCAATAGAATAGGCTTGTTTATATTATTTATTTATTTCATGGTGTTTTACATCTTTCAATAGGACCGTGTATTTCTGTTGCTTCTGATAAGATTGGTATAATTTTCTCTTGAATAAGCATATCAGCAATACAACCAGTGAAATTTTGTTGATAATCACTTGATAATCCTATAATATTAAATAATGTCCCACCTATTGGAAGAAAATTAAAAAAAGTAATGAAGATTTAAAATTAATTTTTTATAAGTATAATCGAATAATGCCTTGTGTTAGAATGTAGGATGAGAGTTTTGTCCTTTTTGGGAACCTTTAACTCAATGTACCTGGATTTTAGTGTAGATAATTATAGAGGAACTCGATTCTAGCATAATGTGTTCTCGGCTATGTTCAATGAGTTCAACTAGTCACTGGCTGATAAATTTCAATTCATAACATCACCGGGAAATTTCAAACAATCAGTACAAATGAATTCATCAACAATGACTATCAAGTTTTTTTTGAAGTGAGATGAATTACTCGCATAAAATAGTAGGATCTGATCAAATTAAAATAGAATAGTTGGAGAAAGAAATTGACAATCAAAAAGTTGGAACTGGTTTGAAGTTGTTTGACGATATTTACTTTTAAACTATTTGTATTAAGTTTATTATAGACGTAAATAAGATTGTCAATACGTTGATCAGAAGTTCATTGTGATAATTTTTGAAACATATAACCTACATTCTCTAGTCACGTATTATAATTTTCACGTGGATTCCAGCCAAGAGGGCTTTTCGTTCCTCTTAGTTTTTGACAAGCACTCAATTACTACCTAAACAGATGTGTTCAGGTTTCACTATCCTTTTTGTTTATCATACTTTATCTCAAACATTAGTTTGCCATTAATACATAATAACACCAGGCGACTACTTTTCCTTTACTTTGTATATTCGTTTTAGGATTGTGTACCCGAATATATGTAGGGGCATCGGTGCAAACTACTGATGAGTTCTAAACTTGAATGAATCATTAGTCCAGAGTTGCCAGGTTTTCACAGTTTACATTTGTAGTTTGATTAGTTAGATTTTTGCTTATACCCTATTTAATGCTGTAGTTTACGAAATTTACTGAAATCTAGAAAGCGATTTTATTTTGTTCACATGAGAAGTTTAGTAATCGATTAAAAAGTAAACGCAGTTAGTCATTACTCTTAGATTTTTACTTATTGGGAGTTATTAAATACAGCAAGAAATTTAGTTACCATATGCTGTAATATCTGTTCATTTAGAAATAGTAGTTTAATAGTTTTATGTTGATCATAGATAATCTCATAGCTAGCTTCTCAAACTACACTACAGAATAGTATGGGATTGAATTTCACACATGAATTTACCGCAAAAAATTAATTAGGAATGCTAGAGAGTGCAATGAATATCTGGGATATAGTCTTGGACGTTAGTTACTACCCTTTGATGAAGTGATACCCGAAGAAATGTTCATATGAATGTATGATTTTTCTAAGAATAAAAATTTTTAAGCTCCTTTAGCTTAACGCCAGAAACTATATATCCAAATATCAAGTTTCCCTAAGTGTAACCTGTGGTTATTTCATAGCGTAACTAAGAATTAACAACTTATTTTTCAAGGAGGAGATTATTAGTGACTCACCGAGATAGACATCTCTCACCGGGGGAGTATCATAATCTGAAATACCTGTGAATTCACCAGAAACCATGTGATTGTCAACGAATAAGGTTGCTCGTTGTTTATTCCTATAAAGAGAGGATAAAATTTTGAAATTTAATGACAAGTAATGTTATGCGAACACATTGTTGATAATTAAATGTACTACTGTTACTATAGTTAGTAGCTTAAGTTTTTTGGATACATTTTAATACACTGCTTGTTACAGGGGGAACAACACATATCCTTAGATTTTATGAAAACGGTAGGTAATCTACTTCAAAGTTTCCCTAAATTGTAACTTTTTGCTTCACAGGAAATGGCTGGCGGTATTAAATTTGTTGATCTGAGTGGGTTCAGATATTTTGTAGTTTGATTGCGTGTGACTAAGTTATTTATCAGAACCTTAACTTTAGATTTTTAAGCTGCAACAGAGAACTATGCTTTAAATAAGCATTTACAAGTAGCTAATTTAATGGCATTTGAGATGCCGTAGAAAAAAGCAAATTTTAATTGATCTTGTAAAAACCATTATTTAAAGATTTTCCGTACACTAGTTTAGAAAGTAGATTTAACGATCCTAAACAGTTAAATTTAATTCCATAAAACAGTTCTCGAACTTTATCAAAGACTTTCAACTATGTGTTATAAACAGTACGAGACAGACATTTAAAATTTAAAGAATGGACCCCTTTTTAACGAATTTACCATTAAGCTTTACAATCGTGTATATATGAGCATATAACTGAAGTGAACATTTGAATATGACTGGGCAAGCACAGTATAGACTTGATTCAATTATTAAACATTATATATTCTTTGATAATTTTGATTATTACCCTGAAGAAGTCCAGACACGTTTGCTGGATGGAACGTTGGAACTGTTTATGTTTCAATCGCTGAGATTATTTCAAATATAATTTTCATATATGATGTCTTCTTTATTCTTGACGCTTGATTTGCAAAAAAACTATTCGTTCTAATGTTGACGAATATTTGTATAAAATATATTTGTACAGCTTTATAGTGAATTCGCTGAAAAGTGATCCCTTCTCTGAACTTTGAGTTTTCAGTATGCAATAAATGGTTCTCAGAGGTGTTTATTCAAGTTGGTTTTTAATGATCAGATCATTATTATCAAGACTGATATGTACGTTCATATTAGATCACTGTATTATCGCAGATTATGATAGTTATGGGTGAAATAAAAATTCAACTCATCAGTTCAGGGTGAAAAAAGGTTTGTTCAATCATAAGAAAGTGATGAATTTAATCTCAAAGTTAAAAAAGCAACCAGCCAATGGAAATACAAGAAACGACGCTCAATTTAAAGTTGTATTGTCAGTTAGTAAGAGGTAGTCTGTAACATTCCACTAAAAAAATAAAGCTATCAAGTCTATCGGAACTTATTTCTTATTCGATTGATAAACGTAAATTAACCAATTAATATATATGTTAAGAAGCTTTGAAGTATCTTTAATGGATGTTATTCTACAAATCTTGTTCTTCTAGCTTTATTTAATTTTATCAAGAGATCAAGATGCATGAAATATATTCTAAGTATTGAGAAGTATTAGGCAATTTTGTTAAATCATTTCCTATTCGGTGAACTTGGACAAACGAAATCATGTACGTAAAAATGAATATCACCTGTAGTTTCTGTTAAACTCAATTAGTGAAGTTTAGTTGAAATTTTTAATTCCAAACACCTACAATATTGAAGATTCTATAGTTTTAGCATGGTCTATGTTGATGCTGAAACACTGGTCAGAGATAACTTGAAATACAGTTTCAATTTACATATATACTTTATCATTTTTGTAGGGTGATGTTAATGGTATCTACAATACCTGAAATCTAACTGCAAATTTATTGAAATCTTTGCTGAAAACTCATGCAAAATACTGTACAATACTCAATAACACTCTTGAATTGAAGGAAGATAACACAAAAATGGTCGGTTTATGTAGGTCAATCATACAGAAGACACTATTTCAGCTGTTGTTTATCTTTACAGTAATTATGTACCTGTAACTATATCAGTCCTAATGGAGGTCAACCACTACATGAAGAGTTCATTGGTAACATCATTGACAGTGATTATAATTATTAGTTTTGTTCAGTAGTATATTTTTGGTACAATATAGAATTCTCGGTGCAAAGTATTTCAACAAGTTTCCGTTTCTTATTTCTTAATCGATCCTGACGATAAATATTGAATGATCGCCAATTAGATGTTAGCAGTTCAGGAATCAACATCTGAATAATTTACATTCTTTCCGATGTATATTGCTAGCAACCACAATGTCTCTGATTGTGCTTTTTCCTAACTTGTAAATTGGAAGGTTGGAAAAGTTTCATAAACGTACTTTAATAGATTGTGCGTTTAACAAACAATGATGTAGATGGTGGTTGGAGGTAGTCAACAGGAAACCCTGGACCCGGGTTTCGTGCTACTTGGCACTCGTCAGCAAGGTGTACCTGTAATCTTGAGGGAACTGGTGCTCTCTGGCGGATTTGATCTCGTGTCACCCAGCTTCACAATCAGAGACGTTACCACTGAGCTATCCGAGCTACCCGCAGTGTCGAGTCACCTAGACTGGTGGCCACATTGCAACATGATCGATAGCATTCGATCTTCACTAATAAGGACTAGACAAGCATGACATTGATCTCCACCCAATGATCAATCAATTGTGAAACAATGATGTGTTTAAACAAGCAAAACTAGATAACTTATTGAAATATCTAGATGGTAGAAACAGGTAACCCAGATGTTCAAGCAGGCCTTCTGTATATATGAAATTATATTGTCAATAAGTAAGAGGTAGTCTGTAACATTCCACTTCAAAAAAATATAAAGCTACTTAGTGACATGAGTTTACACAGTAAAGGGATCACCAGTTCCGATAAGATTAAAAATAGGCCTTGCTGATAAGTATGATGTATCATGAACTGTTGCTTCAACCACCTAACAGATCAAAATACAATTTACAAAATCACTTTATAAAATATAAATAACACGATTTAAAATAGCAATATTATATTTTATTTTCTAACCCCATAGCTTGTATCATATGCCATTCACCATCGTTTACTTTATGCCTTGCTTGAATAGGCATAAGACGATTAAATATTGGATTATCATTTTCATTATTATTTATATTCCAAGATTGATCTTTCGTTTTTCTTGAAGTAACTAAATTCAATAATAATTCAACACGACCATTACGTAATACGATTGATACAAATTCTGAATTAGTTGTAATTTGTGTTACTGGTTGATTTAAAATTGATGATGATGATAGATCATGTTGATGATTTAATGAATCTTGTTCAACCATTAATAAAATTAAACCATCCATTTTATTTGTCCGTAGACGGAGACGAATATTAAAATCTGACCTTGGTTTTTTAGTACAATATATACAAAACAAATATAAAAAATGGAAAACATAAAATGAAATTCATTATTATTAGAAGGAGTTTGTGGAGATTTTAGAAATTTCACAGATTGAAATCATGAGTCAATTGAAGCTAGACCATCATGGAAAACTTGCAAGCACTGGACAGCTGGCCGTTTCGTCCTAGTATGGGACTCCTCAGCAGTACGCATCCACTATTCCACCTCTCGAGATTCAAACCCTGGACCTATCAATCTCGCGCGCGAGTGCTTAACTTGTAGACCACTGAACCGGTGTTAAATTCTAATAAATGTCTAACTAATCCACAAAGTTGCGCCACCGTCCACCATTGTCATCAGTGAGTTACCATCTCTTTGACCTATCGTCATTCAGTGCAAATACCTTTGTCAAAATAATAATAAACACAAATTTATAAAAATCTTAGCACATATGTGGTAAATTGGTCAAGGTTTATCTCGACGAATAATCCTGTTATTGAGGAAATAGATTAATATAGATAGCAAACACATATAGATTGTTAAAGTACTAGTTCCGTGAGGAAATGTGAACAAGCGATAACCAAGGTGATGCATATACAAAGATTATAATACTAGATTACCTAATACTACTAATAATAATGGCCTTATTAAGTTAATAACGAATGATAACGCGAATGTTGTGTGATTAAAATGTCTTTGTTACAATAGTTAAAGGTCACAGGGGTATAAATAAATAAATAAAGTGATATCATGAGCAATTATGAATAAAATAATGAGAATATGAGACATAAGGAAGAAATGCAGTAATAATAATAATAATAATAATAATAATAATAAAGACCAAGGTAACAATAACGATAGGACGTACTTCTTTTGTACGTATAATTCTGGCTTGACCTCATGAATAGTAAGAGCTCCGGCTATTTTTAGGAGTTGTATACAAAGAACTCTATGTAGGATTGAACGAATCGTATATAAAGCCTTAAAATCAAACTGTGGATCAGTAGAATGATTACGGTCGATTAGATGTTCAAGTATGGAACTCCTAACTGCTTTCCTCTCACCATTGTAGAATCACACTGAGACATGTTCTCGTATTCGATTTGAAAGCGAGAGCTGGCTATAGTGTCTGATTCAATAGGCGTATAAGTTCTCAAGTCAGAATATATTTATGTGATGAGAAATTCTTCTCACATTTATGTCCACACTGTCGATCTGTGAGAACATCGTGCTGAAGTCACGTTGAATTTCATTTTATCCTCTCATTCCTTTTCAGACGATTCAAATTCCATTTAATGTGAAGTGTACTGTTCATGAGCTATTATCTATGTCTTTTAAAATTTTGCTGAACGATTTTAATATTGTTAAAGTCAATCTTATGGCCCAGTAGTACAGCCTGTAGACCTATGGCCGAACATTTCCTAAGTTCTACTGAGTTTCGCAATGAACAAAAAACATATTGACCCCTGGAGAAGCTTTTCTGATAAATATTGAGTCACAATTTGAACGTTTTATTTTATAGACACAATTAGACAGTAAATCCATTGGTATTTTATTTTTTATATCTTTGATCTTGCCCTCAAACGTTTAACGTTCAGATCACTGGTCATGGATTCTCACCGAACTCCGGGGATTTCTCCCTGACGCTAGTTTATAGTGAACAGATCACATATTGTCTAACTTAGGTCGGTTCGTGATATTAATAAATTTTTCCAATTCTTTCTTCCTTATATCTCTTCAAATAACCGAAAATTACCTACTTGGGTGTCGAGTTATAATAAATGACTATGGGTAAAATAGATACTTACGTGAATCTTATAAGTCCACGATATTTATAAACTGTTAAACCACCGAAGTTGATTAAAATCTCTCTTGCTGGATCAACTGGTGGCAGTTCTTCATCTGGTTCATTGTATGTTTCTCTTGAAGGTGAACGATTTGGACCATCGTATTGTAACTGACCGTCATTTCTGGACGATAATGCCGAATTTAACCTAGATAGTTCCATCTGGTATTGGCAAAAAAGGTAAAGTACACTTACATTATAGAAAAGCGACCCAACATTTTAGAAATTTGAACGTTTTAATCCGATTAAGTAACAGTGATCACGATCTAGAAACCAGTATGCTCACACAATCATATATTAAACTAGGATCCTACTAAGTGTACTCTCTGGATGATTCAAGCAGAGGATCTTAATAAGACATTATTTATTCTAAAGGTTTCAGTGTACAGTAACGTCCAGTTGATAAATCAAAAATAAGGCGACAAATTTGTGCTGGATTTCATTACTGATCATTAGTTAAAATACAGTCAATTTAACAGTCTATAGATTCACTTGTAGACAATAAGGAGTTTTATGTTTTGGATGTATCGTTTTGTTTGAGTTTGATGGAACTCCAATGAGATAATCGATATCTAAATTTATTGCATAAACAGTAAAAGGAAAGGTGGAAGCTCTAACCGTACTTATGATCAAACCAAACAGTTGGATGTGCTATTTAGACGACACGTTCGTCGTCATCAAGAAGGTTTAGCTGAAATATACTTACAATTTGAGCAATAGTAACTTCAGTGAAATAAAGTTCGTATAAAAATTGAAATTAGGCAACAAATACAGTTCTTGGATGTATTCATCACCGGAACCGATACAGAAAAAATTATTCCGACTAAATACTCAATCACAATAGCATTGACGTATATGTTAAACTACATACAAACTCTGTTCAAAAGAGTGAAGACACATTGAAACACCGCTATTACACGTAGAAAGATAACTAAATCATCCAGCTCAATCGGCATAACATTATAGTTCTCATCTTAAGCTAAAAAGTATCCACAAACTAGTATGCAAAGATCGTGATGCATTCTATATTGGAGAGTCTTCTCGTAAAATCACGACTTGTGCCAAAGAACATTTAAGCTACACATAAAGATGTACAAACAGTTTCGTGGAACTAGAAAATCTGCAAATAAACCAGAAATACCAGCACATGTTATTTTTAATAAGCATCAAATCAAGACTAATCATAACTAAATAATTCAATAAAGGATTTTCTGATTATAAAGAAAGACGGGTATATGTAGACTTTTATATCTTGCTAAACTCTACTATGCTCCATATAAAGAAATGCTTAATGATTCGTCCAACATGAACCATTTTAACAAATATCCACATATTCAATCCTGTTCACATTCCATACCACTAATAAATATACAAATATTCTTAACCTTACTCTTCAAAATTACAGATATCACATTTTCCACATCCACTAACACACACAAGCACACACACACACAAATAAGTCTCACACAGAATCACTTCGACTGAAATAACAGGACATTGACCTGATCAAGTCGATGTTAATTTTGATTGCACTGAAAATATTTATGCTTTATGTCTTTTGTACTTTGTAAACTTGTGTTTATTGAATTTGTTATTTAATTTTATTATCAGAAGGGGTTTGTGGAGATTTTAGAAATTTCACAGATTAAAATCATGAATCAATTGAAGCTAGATCACCATAGAAAACCTGGTATGGAACTCCTCAGCAGTGCGCAACCACGATCCGGCACCCCGCGAGATTTGAACTCAGGACCTATCAGTCCAGTGCTTCCAAGTTTTGCATGGTGGTCTAGCTTCAATTGACTCATGATTTCAATCTGTGAAATTTAATTTTATTCACTGAAGAAACTACTTACACTAATTCGTAAAACATCAAAGATCTAACTTTCTACTCATGGGAACTTAACAAATATATTCTTTTTTATTATTATCATCCTATTCAGTTCATTATTCTAGATTTTATATAAATCTCTTTATGAAAATAGAATCAAATCAATTGTTAAAACCCCTTCAAACGGACATCATGGAATTAAAAAGATATATTTCATAAAGACTATATACTATTGAGGGAGATCCTGAGAATCTAAATGATTTGCTCGTGAATTATGCTTATCAAATACAAAGTGAAAAAAAGCAAAAGAGTCTAACTAATCAAAGGACTTTATGAAAAAAATACTTGAAACAAAATTTCCAGTGGGTTGTGATTTTTTGTACTGCCGTCCTAGACAGTACTCAATGAGAAGTATTATCTATAGGCCTAAAATTTTGTAACATGATTAGGCATTTAAATAGGAATAGATATGCAATGCCAACGTAAGATTTAGAAAAGTTCTTTACTATGAGCCATGAAAATTTAAAACCACACCAGTTGACTATTATAACTAGTTTGAATTCAACAGATATCCTACAACTGTAAAATTTAGGACACATGTTTCTCCCTGGATATACCAGCATCTCAGAATTGATAATCTTCCTGGGGTTTTTCCCCGTTGCTTACGAAGCTTACGAGTATACATAGACTATTGAAAAGTTGGAAATTTTTTCGTTCACTGAATACTATATAAGGTATATATGATCTACGATATTTTGTCTCACATTTCAAAGGACAATTGTCACACCTTATTCTTACAAAGGATATATTATAAGTAAAGATAGATGGTCATTGAATCTATGATAAAACAGTAGTGATAGACGATTGTTTTGAAAATTCAAATATTTGTTCTTTAATCATAGTTTATATTAACAACAATAGGATAAAGCAACTACTCTAAAGACCGTTTTCTACATTTTACAAAGTATTGGATAAATAAATTCACTTGATGTTGTTTACTTGTATCTTCCGATTGTTATTTAGGACTGCGATTGATCAGTCACCTGCTGGCATATGTACATCCTGTGTGGACTGTCTCGATACTGCCTTAGGTCACAAGCTTTTTTTAAGCAAGAATGGATAGTAGCTATCAGTGGAATCCAGGACGCGCACTTCGTCCTATTCGGGACTCGTAGATAAGTGGAAAATGTGATAGCGTTTGAAGCAAATGGTGTTGTGTTCGAGTCCCACAGTGAACATCAACTCTGAGGTGCAGGTACATCCAGCTGACGAGTCCCAAATAGGACGAAACAAGCGTTCTGAATTCTACTGCTAGACACTATCCATCTTTGCTTATATTCGACAAATATGTTTAAGAAGTAGGAAACAGAACAAAACAATACAATGAAGAAAAATTAATGAAGTAAAAATAGTTTCCATCAATCAATTTTCCTGTAAAACACATCTATAAGCTAGTGAGCGGAGAATTACTAATTTATTACTCTATAATTCTTATTAGTAAGTATACTGAATTCATTTGTCGTAAGGTATTCATTGTCCTGTTTTCCAACTAAGAAAATGTCTCCAGTACATAGTATGGTGTTTTAGAGGTTGGGAATTAGTGGAGATAACAAATCTTGAAATCAATGCTGATTATCTATAGATATCAGAAAATCCAACTATGAAGTGTACCAATGCTGTTAAAATTTATGAGAGTACTTATCAGTTCAGTAGTTCCAAGCAAACAACATGTGTTATAACCATAAACTTTATTTAAATCTCTTACATTCGGATAAATTCTTTTATATTATAAAATAATTACCAAATAAACAACTTACTTTTCGTTGCAAACAAGCTTGTTGTTCAACTTCATTAGTTTCTTCATCTAATCGTCCTTTCATAAGATGCATCAATTGCAATGGTGTTGTACAAGCACATGTAGCATGCTCAATATTTGGACGACATACACTATCTGGTCGATCCAATTGGCATGGTGAATATTGTGGACCACATGGTAAACCTTGCCATTGGGATACATTTGCCCATTTTTCGAATAAATGTGGTAATTTACCTTGTTCCTCTGGTATATTCATCATATCTGCAGGAGATGGACCTGCTAGTACAACTTCTGCTTCATTTATGTTAATCTATGATTCATTAAAAAAGAAAAGAAAAAAACTTTGAAGACAGTCCACGAGAATAATTCTAGTAAACTGATGTAACAGGTTCATATCGCTTGCCTGGAACATAATCAGCATAAAACTTTGTAAGTTTAAGTTATTTTGAATAGGTTCAAATAGGATTCTCGTTCAACAGTTAAATGAGTCATTTTAATCCTATTAGTTATTCTATGGTTGTTTACATGTTTTTATACACGTACAGTTTGTATACCTGTGATTACTTGCAAGTTTGTGCCCCATCTCATTAATCTTTTGGTCTAATATAAACCCACTCAACGATTTACGACAAGACTGATCACCACACTAATTCACTCATTACAATGACTGGTAGCCACATAAGTCTATACAGTACACAAATCAGTACGTTTTCAGTATGGGGTTGTGAAGATTGTTGAACGTGGAATCAGTGGACGGCCATTTCATTCTAGTATGGGACTCCTTGGCAGAGTTCGAGTGAAATAGAGGGCTCCGGGTTCGAGTTACACATGTAGTATCGTGGACGATCACTGCCAACGAGTTCCATACTAGAATGAAACGGCCATCCAGTGATTTCGCATTCTTACCAGTGGTCTAACATTAGTTGATTCATGATTTCAACAAAATTCGACATATTTCCCATACCTTTGGGACTTAAAAGAATACTAAATTTCCTTTACATTTTAAAATAACTACAAATATTAAAAGACAGGTTCAACAACAAGTTTATCCTTAAAATATGCTGGATTAAGCTTCATCAGAATGACTACCTTAAAGGATGACCTTGGATATTTTAATTGCATTTTAAGCCAATAATTATATAGGCTTTAAAATCTGGAATCTATCACTTTAATTGGATCTAATCTAAATGTACATGATGTTTATAAGTAGAGATCCTAGTTACAAGAAGAAAATTGTATGTATTTGGATCTGTTTCTAGTTGTACGGAAACTCTTGTAAAGAATGCATCATAGTTTGCAGAATATCAGCATAAGTACTACTTATATGAGTGCTGTATGACTAGAAATCCCAATGTTTTCAGGAATTTGTATGGCATAAGAATGGTTATTACTCTCACTGTCGGTAATGATGTGATTCATTTGAGAGAATACTTTAAATAAAAAGGAAGGAAAAACTTCTTAGAGTTATATTTTAGATGGAATATGAATCGAGCATTCAGTATGGTGATTACTAAAATCGATCAGTTTTTTTTAATGTTACCCAAACAGTCAACATGGATTGTCTTATTTTCGATTTATTCGTCTCTATATCCCGGTCAGTTGACTGTCTGAAGAAATCCTTTGATTATTCCTTAATAAATAATTAGATAAAATACTTTACTGTATACAACCTATTAAAACCTCATTTCATAAAATTCAAATATTCAGTAATACCTTGTTGGTATTTATCGCTCTTAAACTCTAATGACTGCTAGGAATAAATTCATTATCTATTAGAAGATAAAACGATAACAGTAGTATCGTCATTAGTAAGTTATCTGAACCATATATTTGAATTGTGAATCTTTAATTGCTTTCCGGATAGTATGTTCAGTAAAAACATAAGCATGTAAAACCTATTTACTTGTTATAATGATAACTGTTTTAGTGAAATGAAATGATTTACCTTTAAACAGTCTGTTTTTATTAAAAGATAGAAAATAGGAGATTTTAATGGTGGTACAATCGATATGAGGAGACAGTGTTATTCTTGAGATAGTATTTAAGTTGCTACTGAAACTTTTGCCCCGTAAAATTTAACTTCTGGTAATATGTCAATTAGCATTTGAAGAAAACTAATCACTTTAATAAAATTTTTCACTTTACTCCTTAAAGAGATTTTAGTAGTGGGAATATAATATCGATTAAAATTCGAAAGTTTGGTACACACATGATTTTCTTCTCTTTGATGTAATTTTATTCATAGTTATTCAGTTTTCAGAATAGTTCGAGTCACCTAAATCCTCTTTTCTTGATTGAAATCATAAGTCGATCAATATTAGATCATCATTGAAAACCTGGAAGCACTGGACAGCTGTTTCGTTTTAGTATGTGGTTCCTCAACCGTGTTCATTCACGATCTTGCATGTGAGATTCGAACCTATTGCCTTTGGTCTCGCGCGTGAACGCCTAAACTCTAGTCCACTGAGCCGGTATCCGACGGTGTTAATGTCTAACTTCAACTAATCCACGATATTACGCAATCATCTTCCATTGTCTTCGGTGGGTAACTGTTTCATACCTGACACAGATTCGCACCACTGATCATGGCTTTTCACTAGAACTCTAAGAATCACCTCTCGAAGCTATTCATCAGTTAGAACATGATAGTTATCAGTATAGAGTTGTGAAGATTATTAAGGACTAGATGAAATGCCCTCCAATGCTTCCAGATGTTTCAATAGTGATCTAACATTGATCAATTCATGATCTCAATCAAATCTCAACAATCTCCACAATCTTATATTGATAAATCCTCTTTATTTAATACTGAATAGATCTGATGTGTTTACATCTTGAAAATAGAAAAACAAAACAAATTACATATTCTGAATTTCAAATGAGGTTATTCCTCGATGATCTTGATTTGATCATAACCATGTACAATTGATTAATTAAATTAAACTAACTCTTTGAATTGTTCCATGTAAACCATTTCTAATCGGTATATAATTTAAAGTTGTTTGATCATAAAAATTATATCCACCAAGATAGATTGGACTTGAAGATAAATCGAAATTAGTTAACTAATGACGACAACAAAACAACAAAAAAAAGAAAAAAAAAGAGAAAACAAAATGAAAAAAAAACTGATTATTAATTTTATAATGAACTGGAATTCGAATCAAATTAAAACGAAAGAGAATCTTATTTTGAAAGAAAAGAAGATAAGACAAAACGATTTAGAACAAATAAATTATGAGTTCATTCCATAAACAAAAGAATAAAATTAAGGACAATTTTACTACTGATTATCATATAAAATAGAATAAATATTAATGTATATTTAAAACATGAAAGAATTTAATTGCTGAAAAATTCCCATTATATTAAAACACAATTGTATGAATGAAGAATATTCTTTTTAAGTTAAGCAATGGTGTAGTTAAAACTGTTAACAGCTCCATCTTAGACCATCTAGTTCAAACAGGACATACAACCAACATGGAGCAATCATTTGCAATAATCTATGTTGTTAACAGCACTCTACCGAATTCTGTCAGATTGCGAATCCTATAGATGGCTGAAGCAATTGCTATTCGGATCAAAAAACCAGAGCATCCAAAAGAAGTATGTTCAGCCACTCCTTTTACCGTGGTCAACTTTGGGGCCAACTAGTTAATAATCAATTTTATAATATGGTGACGTAATCTGGTTAATGTTCGTTTTATGTTGAGATTAGATGGTGGTTGGAGGTAGTCAACAGGAAACCCTGGACTCTGTACTAATAAGGACTAGACATGCATGACATTGATCGCCACCCAGTAATCAATCAATTGTGATTACATCTCAGTCCTACAGGAGGTTAGTCACGGCTCGGATAGCTCAGTGGTAACGTCTCTGACTGTGAAGCTGGGTGACACGAGATCGAATCCGCCAGGGAGCACCAGTTCCCTCTAGATTACAGGTACACCTTGCTGACGAGTGCCAAGTAGCACGAAACCTGGGTCCAGAGTTTCCTGTTGACTACCTCCAACCACCATCTGAATCTCAATATATAGTGCCCGCAGTGTTGAGTCACCTAGACTGGTGGCCACATTGCAACATGATCGATAGCATTTAATCTGCACTAATAAGGACTAGACACGCATGACATTGATCTCCACCCAGTGATCAATCAATTGTGGTTCATCTTATGTCTCAAACTTATTGTTATTATTATCTTTACAATAGATAACCTTTTTTCGAGGAATTTATTCAATATCCACCCCTAAATCTACTATATCTGACCTAATTCATATTATTCTACATATTACGTAATTTCCGATTTTCATTCCATTATTTTCTCTCTCGCCCCATGTTGACCATATTTATTCTGATCATTTATCTCACAATTTCATTTCACTTATAAACTGATTCAAGTTAACACTTTTTATTAATCAGCCCCAACATTAACGATCTGATTTGATTTTATAATGACAAACAACAATTCTTAATTCACATATTACAATTTCCAAATGATTTACTCTGCCTTAAATCTGGCCACTTTTATGGATTATTAATTTGGATTTATAGCTGTAGAACCTGATGAAAGAATTATTTAAACATTAAATAGGTTATCACTGCTGTTGAATTTTTTTTTTGGTAAAGAAATTGAAGATAATAATTAAATGAAGTGATTGTTTGAATCTTCTCATTGATGTTTAAGACTGTGATTGATTAGTCTCTTATTGATATATATGCATCCTGTGTGGGTTTAAAGCAGACGGTACTAGGTTCGAGTCCTAGAGTGAATAACTCTAGGATACAGATACATCCAACTGACAAGTCTCAGAATAGGACGAAACGTGCGTCCTGGATTCCATTGTTAGTCATCATGCATTTCTGCTTATATTAAACAGAATAGTTACATGAACTCATTTCCTCATTAATATAAAGTTTTTATTGTAACTAAATAGACTGAGTTAAAAAAAGAGATTAATTTTAATAATAGGATAGGAATATGGTTGGTACACAAATTTATATCAGTCTTACCGTAATTGTGATCAGTAATAAGGTGCTAAAATATTCATTACAGTGTAATTCACAAGACTATAAATATTTATAAATGTATTGTTTTGTAAAGTAAGCATTATTTGTCGTTCCATTCTGATATTCATTTATAAACCTGGCTAATATGTAAACAAATGTCAATCGATTTATGCTTTTCGAAATCAATGATATTTGGTATCAATCTAATATTTAGAAATATAAATGACAATATTCTAGTATGTGGCTTAGGAGAACTAATGCAACATGGAGCAACAACGTCTGTATTCATTATTGAGATGAAAATATTAACCAACTACTTTGAGGATAGCCTTCTAATGATGAAGAAGAATTTTGTAGTTTAAATATATTCTTTTAGTGATTCTACATTTTCTAAACTGGAAGTTGTTCAGAGAAAGAATAAACGTTTCGTAATTTAAATCAACTAATTTAGAAATTTCAATACTAGAAGAAGTAAATTCTTAACTTCTACGAAAACATAGTCTACACAATTCCAGAAGTCTTATTGAGAAAAAAGTCAGTGCAGGGAGTGTTCACGAAGATGGGTTTAGGTTTCATAGCCAATATACCCAATCTTGTTATATATATATATATATAGCCTAATAAATACAAAGCATTTATCGAACGATAAACTACAAGTACCCATTACAACATACTGTCAGGATAAAAAAATTCATATGAGAATGATTTAATTTAATAATATAAAATACAATGCGTTTAGTAACATACCTCTTTTAGAAGCTGATTTTGTAGGTGAATAAATTGTGATGGGATCTAAATTATACAAATCAGATAAATAGAAAATGGTAATTTATAATTTTTTTAAAAGTTAGTGTGGTGGTTTCTGATTTTCAAAAAAAGAAGTTTGATAGCAGTTGACACTTTGGATTTTTAAACTGCACACGTATCTTTGGAATCCGATCTCCCTAACTTGGAACCTGAAAAGTGGATTTTAAAGGTCATGTTAAAAAGGTATACGTAAGCAGTGTCCAGCTTATTATTATTGGCTGGAACGGGCAATAAACGACTGACTTTCTTTTGTTTTCTGAATAGTTCGAGACTGAGTCAAGAGATATATGGAGAGGGGAATGACAAAAGTTTGATTATAAGAAATTTCTTTACGTTCACCATTGAATTAAGTTTCAGTTAGATAGCTACATAGGATTTATAATACGCTTTCTTTTGGGAAAATAGATATTGACTTTTAATGAAAATTCTTTATTAAAGTATCAAACTTCGATCTTCGTGGAAGCGAGAAAATTAATTTCTTATTTAATTCAATCTAAAATAGCCAATGTGTGGAAAAATTACATATTCAATTAGATTTTTCTGAAGGGTACATTCAATCAGATGATAAATGCAGAGTTTAGCTTTTATTCAAGGTCGTCTTTCATAATGAGATGTCATCTTGTCTGGATTTATAAAATAATGGTAATCTTTAAGTGAGGGCCCTTTTGTGAACATGGTCCTAAAATCGCCTCTGTTAAGGGAATGAATTAATGCAATACCTTCTTCTTCTTAATCTTAGATGTGATTTTAATTTGTGTTCATTTTATATTTGACATTGCGTAATTTTGACCATTTCTCTATATGCATTCAGTTTTCTACTGTATTCGATGTTTGTGTTTTCATTTCCTTGCTTATCGCTCCATGAATTTCGTCCAACAGTACTGATGTGTTTGATATGCTCAGGAGCATACACAACTGTGTAAAGTTTATTGACATTATTAAAATTACTCGTCAGTTCGTTATAAAATTAAAAACACGAAGTTCAGCGAAGAGATCTCTTTTCAACGAATTTATCATGAAGCTGAACAATTGTTAAAATACTAATTCCGTGAGGAAATGTGAACACAAATAACCAAGATGACGTAATAGAATGATTATAACACTAGATTACGTAATACGAACAATAACATTAGATTTAGTAAATATAAGATGATTAAAATGATTGTTGTTGTGGTGTATGCTGCTTATATCGACAGACATAAGTAGTATATAACACCAATCAGAATTGGAAACCCTGACAGCATAGGGCTAAGGAGATCAAGTTGAAGAGGAAACAGAAGCAAAAATGGAAATAAATTTCGACTTGGAAGAATCATGTAGAGTGTAAAGCACAAATGAAATTTTACGAATGAAGTGTTCAATGATTGGTTCTCATAGGTTTACCAAGAGATTCTGTAATTTTATGCAGAAATGATTTTCGTTGTCCCGCATATGTATTCGTTCACTATACTATAACAACAGTGTAACTACACAGTAACATACAAAAAATAGAACGATTCAATAAAACATCAATATTATTTTCTAAGATAAAGAAAAAGTACTCACAAGTGATACACGTTGTTTTTTATTCCTATTCATTTTAACACGTAGCACTTTTTGCAGTTTATCAATAATTAAAGTATTCCATTGATTTAATGATACTGGTTTATTATATCTTAATTGGATAATATTTTCATTGACTAATTTTCCTTTACCAGTACCAGTTCGACAGACAACATTTAAATAATTCTGTTCATCTAAATAAACTGCTATAAATGGACCATGTTGAGGAGATTTAGGTGGAATTAAAAGTAGTAAACCTTGGGAAAATTTAAAAAAAAAATCACATACTTGACTAGAAGATCTAGATAGCACATAAAATAATAACAATTCTGTTTTAAAAACATCTGGTATAAAACGATCTGTAAGTGATTTGTGGGGCCCAGGATCTGACTTCAGTTAGATCGTATAAATAATTGCTGTCGAAATATATATATATATATATATATATATATATATCGCCAATCCTCGTATATAATTATCGACTTAGATCGCGTTAGTGAATAATGGAACTAAATAAGTCAAATATGACAATGGATTTCTGAATACATATATTTTGTACAATCGTTGATCGGAACAGATAATCAGAGAGACGTAGCAAAGGAAGCGAAGAAAAGAGAGCGAAACGAGACGGCGCGCAGCGTCGAAGGCAAGTGAACCAACTCCATTTAATCAAGCGTTAATCAATATTTATAGTCAAACAAAAATAAACTACAGACATGTTATGAATAGGATAAAAATTGTACACACATACGCTTACATAATAAGTCATGGTTGACAAGTGAATAATGAACAAGGTCAAAACGTGACTCAATAAGAATGGATGAATTGTCCTGTCCAGAAGCTAGAATAAGTTATATGGGCTTAACATAGAAACCGACACTACGGATCGAATCATTTATAAGAATTACTGTAAGGACACAATAAAACTTTTATTTACAAGTTACTTTTCGTGTAAAGCTTAGTGTAATACTGAAGAGCTGGTTTGAAATTACTTAATCTCACAACTTTTTCCAAGATGAAATTCATGAATCGAGGTTTCATAATGAGTAAAAATTCAGTGATCAAAATTATCCGACTTTATTCAGTCCATATAGAATTATGGTTAGTCTTCGATACTAGCTGTAAGTATTTGTGTTTATTGAGAACTAGGATTATAATCGAAATTTTTCTCATCACAACACTTAAGGAATCTCTTTTAAAACTCATCTCAAATGATTTGGTTAGTTGGTTGGTTTGAAGGCCTTAAAAAGTAGGGATTATTTTAAACTGTAAAGTCGAATTGGTTGTCTAAGTAAACATAGTTGGTTTGGCATGCGTTTGACATTTAACAAAACGATTTATTCCCTTGTGTTCCATTTAGTTTCTGATAAGGATAATTGCTATAGAAGGCTTAGGTAGCTGAAAAGCAATAATTATACAAACCACCTGCTTCGGTTTGGGCATCCAGGAAGTATCACAGCCCTCACACATATTAAATGAGATTTGTGTGGCGCATATGTATTTGGCGCCTCCTTGTACCAATATCTATTTGTTAAAATAAATAAATAAATAATACAAACCTGATTAAGGTAAGTTGTTAAGGTAGATGCTGCTTAATACTTAAATTTTCCGAATATTGACATCTGTTAAGGTTCTGGTGAACGAACCAAGTAGCATTGACTATCTGATTGTTCTGGTATAGGATTTCCTGGCAGTACGCATTGATAATTTCATCAATGATCGAATATAGAACAATCATTGTAGACAGAAAGAAATGGATATTTATATCGTCTTGATATGCCGCTTGCTCATTATCCCATCAGAAATGAACCATATTTACTTCTGTCTTCATAAGAGAATGTCTTATTATTAGACCATCAAGTGGATATTCAAACTCTTAAGTTACATTTTGTCATGACAACTGACTATAATTATGAAATCATTCAATTAAGAAAATACTAGAACGAACACTGACTAAAATAAAGATGGCTAATATCATTGTAATGGTAGTAAATTTGACTTCAAAATAATGATATAACTGAAGTTATTTCATGTTTTTTTCTATAGGTAATTTACAATGAATTATGTATATATTTTCTCACCTGATGGTTGTGTTACTAAGAAAATTAATTCAATATGTAACTTTTTGCGTTTTATTGCATGTTTTCCAGTTGGACCAGCTAAACGAATAAATCCATTTCCAGAAAACTGTGGTATAATAGTTACCGCTAGAAGTGTAAAAAAAATAATTATATTTATCTAGATTAAAACAAAAATTGAGTAGCATCTATTAAATTTCAAAAAAGGATTGAAGAATTAATAAAGAAATAGGTCATGACTAATACCAATATTAGTAACTGAAGTAATGAACAGAATTAAAAAAAAAACTGTTAAAATAGGCAGTAGAACTTGTGGGCGGCCTATACTCCTCCACCAGGGGTAATAGGCGTAAGTAAGTACTAATCTAAAAACAGTCTTTGTAGTTTTGCGTAGCACATGTCTAAGACGAATGCTTAGATTAATCGAAGCCTTAATTATATGTATATTCAACCCCAGCTTATGTATTCTAGGTCAGTTCTCACTTCTGTCATTCTTTGATTGAATTTTTTTTATCTCAAGAATAGTGTGAATGAAGTTATTTTTCTGTGATATTCTAATTGCTAAGAAGTTTCTATTCATGTAGTGCAAATTTCAAATTTCTCATATTAATATCTTAATATGTTAGTGTGTAGTCAATTTCTTCCGAATGAATTGCTCTAACATATCACATTGTTCTTATAGGTTTCATCTCATTATATAACCTAAGCTTTTACGCCTTGTGTTTGGCTAACACTATTACTGGTCATTTGTTTCTGCTCGCAACTCGTTAATCAAATATATATATTCCCATCGAAAACCAAATCCATAACAAATTGCTTCAAACTTCAAAAAGTTATTCGTTAGATTGCCTTCAGCTCTTGTTCACTTGAATACGATAGTATGTATTTACCCATTAGTTACAGTGTTTGAGTTTTAGAGGGGACAAGGTACGTGCTTTTTCAGATCTTAACGCTGACTTTAATAAAAGTATTCGATCAAACAGCTTATAGATTAACGGACTGACTGATTTCTCTTGGAGAAGAATACTTGATTTTCACATCTGAAAATGTTTTTTTTTATCTTGAGACAGCCTAGTCGGAATGCAATTATTCACATTCCATACTTATGTTAAATAACAGTTCCAGCGAAAAAGATACCTACCTTGTTCACATACATCACCTTGCCATCCAGGCTGACAGATACACGTGTATTTTCCATCTGATCCAATTGATCCAATTCCATAATTTTCACATTTTTTAGTTTGAATGTGACTAGATAATGTTTGAACGTTTTGATTAATTACATTATCATGTCTTTGAACTTGATCTGATTGTAGTAAAGGTGGAATATTTTCAATGGTATCACTATTAGATATATCATTTGTAAGTGATGATAATGCTTTAATTGATGATGAACATAATGGTGCTTCACTGTGACCTGTTGATGGGTTAGGTTCAATTCCTAACCAAGCTAATTTGTATTTATAGCTTCCAAAAGATCTAAACTAAACTGTTTCATTGGTGAACCAGCATTAATAATCATTTATTTAAGCATCCAGAAAATCCATAATCTTCATGAATATCAGTACGTTCTTTCACATCTGAAATACTGTCATACAAAAATTAATAACAGATGTTATGTAACTGAAATATATACATATATTGATAAGAACAGAACTAAGGAAAGTGTAAGCGTATAAAACTAAGTTTTAAATATATAAATAGTTTCGTCATAGAAGCAGGAGCATTCATTTAAGTTTTTTTCCAATATAAATTCAACTTTATCGTTTGTGACGGTTTCAGTCACTTGCTCACTCACTCACGCATTCATTCATTTACTCACTGAGTTACTCAGTATGTGTTATTTTATATTTCCACTCATTAGCTTGCCTCAAATAAATCAAGTGTAGATAATATAATTTGAAATGCATTTTCTTGATTATTTCAACCGAGATTACAAGAAAAAAGATGGTACTACTTAATGGTTTATTGGAGTCCTTAGTACAAATACAGTTTAGTGAAAAATTCAGCCTGAAGCACTTCTAGGGTTACTGTGGGTCCCAAGCCCACATAAAGGAGGAGGGTTAGGCATGGGATCGGCAACCCTATTCCGTAGTAGACAACCTTGCTAAAGAAAAAGAGTTAATCCGAATGAACAATTTAAACCATTTAAACTTTGCTCTACAAGTTGACGGATCTTCTTTCGGAAGAATTATGACGCCCCATGATAAAAGTCGAGATTCTTCGAAATTCATAAGGACAATGGCCCTTCTAACAACCAGAGCAAAAATTAATATAGTTAGGTAAAATAGCCAGACAATGTAGCAGACTAGGAGGATTAATCAAATAGTTACGGAAATGAGGAGATACAATTCTGCGATGCTCGGAATAAGTGAAACACATTAGACCTAACTGGACAGAAAAGGATAAGTTCGGAAGAGATGTTTCCGTACTCTGATCACAAAGAAGGAAATGCTGCGCACGCACGTGGGGTTACACTGATGCTGTCCAAAGAAGCATGAAAAGCACTCACAGGATGGGAGTCTCACGGATCCATAATCTTCAAAGCATCATTTAAAACAAAGAAGAACGGGATCATAATGAATGTTATCTAGTGTTATTGTTGAGCAATCACTTGAACAGAATTCATCACTATACATCAACTTCCTTAACTATAAGAAGGCGTTTCATAGTGTAATTAGTAGAATATTATGAAGCCTTCAACAAAACTGTGGTTTACGTGAGAACGTCGTCATGATCATACGCAATTTATACGACGGGATAAACCGCAGGGTCATGAATGGAGGACAGATGACTGACGAATTCCAAGTGAGGACCGGAGTCAGAAAAGGCTTCCCACTCTGTCTCTCTTTCTTCTGGTGGTTGGGTGAATTATGAAGACTTCAACATCTGAAGGGGAGCACCGAATACAGTGGACAACCCGGAATCAACTAGACGATTAAGACTTCACAGGTGACCTAACCCTCCTATCCCATACACACGAACAAATGCAGATGAAGACAACTAGTGTAGTAGTAGCCTCTGCAGTAGTATGCCTCAACATACACAAGGGAGAAAGCTTACTTAAAAGGTTTGAATAATTTTTTCTGGTTAGCGTTTTTTTAGCGAGTTAGTTTTGTACGGGATGAGGACGCTAACCCCATGTCCAACCCTCCTCCTTTATCCGGGCTTGGGACCGGTAGTAGCCCCCGGAGGGACTTCCAGGGGAGTGAAGGGAGAAAGCAACACACTCAAATACAACACGGAGAACACCAACCTAATCACACTTGATGGAGAATCTCTGGAAGAGTTGGGAAGTCTCACGTGTCTGGTTGGCGGCATCATTGACGGAGAAGGAGGATGTGATGCAGAAGTGAAGGCGAGGATTGGCAAAGCTAGGACAGTATTCCTACAGTTGAAGAATATATGCGACTCAAAACAACTGTCAACCAATGTCAAAGTCATAATGTTCAATACTCACGTCAAGACAGTCAGTTCTACTGTCCGGAGTTGAAACTTCGAGAACTACCACAACCATCATCAAGAAGGTGCAATTATTTATAAATAGTTGTCTACTCGAGATACTCAATGTCGATTGGCCAGATACCATGAGTAACAACCTACTATGGAGAGAACAATCCAACTTCCAGCTAGCTGTGGAGGAAATGAGGAAGAGATGTTGGAAGTGGATATGACATGCATTGTAGAAATCACCAGACTTCATAACGAAGCAAGTGCTAACATGGAATCGTGAAATGCAATGGAAACGTGTAAGACGAGATAGCAGATCGAGTGGAGAATTGGAAGGAGATATGAAAAGAATGAATAGCAACTGGAGCCGGGAAGAGCTGGAAAGGATTGTGCAGTACAGAGTTGGGTGTAGAATGCTGTTGAGTCGTCTATGCTCTTCCATGATGGGTAACAGGCGTAAGTATGTAAGTGATGTTTACTAATCGAATGATGATGAAATAAAGTTTACATAGTTATTTTCTCTTAATCATTTGCATGTATTTTAACAAGGTTATTTATCAATTTCTTTGTCTTTGTACGGGTAGCGTAAGTGTTAATCAATTAATTCAATAGAAGATACCAACGTTGATTCCTTCTTTAATAAATCTCTTATTTAAGAAAATTCTTAAGTCCTCGAGTATTTCTCTTAATTAAGTAGTATTTCCTGCCATTAACTGAATCTTATTTTTCTTCATATCTCTAGCTTATTTTTTGATTAAATCTGTGCTTATAACTCATTTCTCATTGACTAATTCTAGACTGAAATAACGTTTATGATTCTAATGACTCAACTAATTAATTTTTCCTTAAGTATTATGCTTGAAACTACATAAATATAAGAGTAGGATATTATTAACAGATGCATGTATTACTCCATTCCTTTACATCCATATATACAACGACAAATTAGGTTCACTTATTTATAAATGAGTGAATGATTTTTATCTATGAAAATATTAAAATAGACTTTTTATTGAAACCAAGGTATAAATCGGTCATTAATAAGACGCATTACGCAGCAAAGGTCATTATCAAGGAAAGAACAAGGTTCATGCTTTATCGAAAACCCAAAAGATATAAAAACGATTGCGTCACATTCTACTGTGTTTATCAATTTAAATGTGGGTGTAATCACACATACATAGGGAGGTGTAGTTGTAATCTCAAAATTAGGGTGTGTGAACATGTTCCTAAATGGTTGCAGAAACAAATAAAATAAAATGACCCAATAAGAGTAGAGGATAAAACCCATCTTCCTCTATTGACAAACATATATTATAATATAAAATATATACATAATAATCGTTTAAAGATCCCCATTAATAATTTGGATATATAACTGTAGAACCTGAAGAGAATTTATCGAAAAGAATATTCTTCGTTCAAATACCAGTCTTTTAATATACATAATATTATAATTGAAATAGGTCATAAGATTGATCGTAGCTCGGCTTTTGTGTTTTTATACAAAAGTGTAAAAGGGCGTATACTAAGGTTTATTGAAGCCTCAGCCATACGAAAAGTCAAACCCCCATTGTGTATTCAAAAACAGTTTGTTCTCACCCTTGACCTACCGTGGTAATTTTGGCATATTAGTCAGAATGATTAAGTTTTAAGTTGTTTTCATACCATTCCTCTTCTTACCTCCCATTTATAGTCTAGTTGACCTTTTATATTTATAAATCAGTGTTCTTAACAAGTATATGTGTGATCAGATTGTTCGAAATGTATTCACTAATATATGTCATCATATAGTTCTTATTACATTATCAAAATTAAAATTACTTAGTTCCAAATTAAAGTTAACATATATTTTTGTAAATTTCACAGGTTGAAATCATGATTCGATTGAAGCTAGACCACTATGGAGAACCTGGAAGCACTGGACAGCTGGCCGTTTCGTCCTAGTATGGGACTCCTCAGCAGCGCACATCCACGATCCCGCACCCCGCGATATTCGAACCCAGGACCTATCAGTCTCTCACGCGAGCACATAACCACTAGACCACTGATCTAGCAGGCATCCAACGGTGTTATTGTCTAACTTCAACCAGTCCACGAAGTTGCGCCACCATATATACCATTGTCTTCAGTGAGCTGATATCTCACAACAGACCTGGTTGAACTCCACTGGTAACGGCTTCCACTAGAACTCCAGGAGTATCTCTTGAAGTCAGTCACTAGTGAGCAGATGATCGTGGATGCGCACTGCTGAGGAGTCCCATACTAGGACGAAACGGCCGTCCAGTGCTTCCAGGTTTCCAATGGTGGTCTAGCTTCAGCTGACTCATGATTTCAATCTGTGAAAATTTCTAAAATCTCCACAAACCCCTTCTGATATATTTTTATGTACATTTTTAGAAACACAAAGTTGGATGGATTGAGTTGGAAAGAACCGTTCACTTGAGAAAAAAAACATATAAACACTGTTTTTTTCTCATGATCAATTTTTAATTATTGAGCAACATACTTATTGCAACAGATACGTTTGAAAAGAACTGATAACTACATTTGTCTATCCTATACGATAGAAGTATATGCATAGTAAGAAATAGTTCTTTGCATTGGACTGAATTCTGAACAGTAAATAAACTCCTAATTCTTTCAATATGAAACGTCTTAGCTTTGAACCATCAGTACTTCTTGTTTATTTCTTATGCTCAGATCATAATTAATATGAAGTGAGAATAAGATAAGTATTTATATAAACAAATTTTACTATTTCAAACCAATTATATATATATATATATATATATATATATATATATATATACACCATCAGTGACCGTGGCAACCAAATAAAGATGAATAGCGCAATAGAAATGTAAACATTTTTAGGAAATTGGAAAGAATGATTGAAGTACGACATACAACTAGATAGCGGAATAAACACAATTTTAATTTTTACAAAAAGGAAACATATGAGTTGAAAAAGAAAAATATTCTGATATTTCCGACTATTCTTGATATTTTTAAGGAAATTTTAATTATTTAGATAAGTGTATAATCTTAAAACATTATTTATCCCGAATAGAACACTTTGTTAATAACATTACATATTGAAGTTACGTAATAGATAGAGTAAATTAATAGATATCATTCATATAAAACGGAAAGTAGCTTTTTAAGGATAATCGCACTTGAATTTGAACCAAACAGATCAATAGTTGAAAGGCTGAATTACTTACCACAGTTAGAACAGCTAAGTAGTTTCTCCAACCCAGGATGACTCAAAGGATATAGCTAAACTATGATTCAAAGGCAACAACAATGAGGAAATGATCTTATGATTTTGGGTTCACTTTTCAGCCAATAAAAGGGAAAGAATTTTTATGGGTCAAGAGTATTTTGTTGCAGAACTAGTGAAACATGTAAGAGTATAGAGAATTTAGAAAGCCTATTGAATTTATAAAGACTTAATATCAGTTTTCTAATCTTAACATTGAAGAAATATCGAAACGGAATATCATTTATTTGAATATGAACAAGATTGTTTTGATAGATACAAATAACTTAGCAGGAAATTCTTGATGGCTCACAAAATCTTTATTATCAACTTTTTTAAACAATTAAAGAGATAGAAAGTCGAAGCAACGATCTAGAATAGTCTTGACTAGTAATCAGGATCTATTTAAGCACTGCTACACCAATAGCTTCTCTACTATTTTATCATGAACAAAAGTTATTGAAATAAAAACTCATTGATTTATGTGTTATTTACAGTCCTCGTAGTAAACAGTAATCATTTCACTTTTTCTTAAAAATCATTATCTCCAATCAATGATGGGAAAATAACGTTCTTTCCCCCCGCCAATTATATAAAAGTATTTCTATAACGCTTTTCTATATGATGTCGGAAAGAAGTCAGTCTGTTTTTTTTTCTTCTTAATACTACTAAAACTACTAAAAACAAATTTAATTTTCTACATTTTGTTTAAATCACTCCTATAGATTAATTACATCTATTCATAGTCATTTACATTAAACAAATATTTATAAAATAAGATATACTATTATGTAACTTTTATTCGTATCAGAAGAGATTTTGTGGAGATTGTTGCAATTTCAATAGTTGAGATCATGATTCAGTTGAAGCTAGACCACCATGGAAAACCTGGAAACACTGGACGGCTGTTTCGTCCTATTGTGGGACTTCTCAGTAGTGAGCATTTACGACCACGCCTCGCGAGATTCAAACCCACGACCTATCAATCACGTGCTCGAGCACTTAACCACTAGACCACTGACCTATCCGGCATCCAACAGTGCTAAAGTTTAACTTCAACTAATCCATGAAATTAAGTGACACATCCATGATTGTCATCAGTGAGTTACTATCTCGTAACAGACCTGGTTGAACTCCAATGGTCACTCCTTCTCATTAGAACTCCAAGATATACCTCATGACGCCAGTCACTAGTGAGCATAGGGCGAAATGTCCGTCCAGTGCTTCCAGGTTTTCCATAATGGTCTAGCTTCAATTAATTCATGATTTCAACTATTGTAATTTTTATTCCTTAAAAAGGACAAAAGACAAATCATATTTCATCTAAAACCAACAACCATTAAATCTTAGGAAGCATTGGAAAGTTATTTTGTTTTAGTATAGAGTTTCATAACATTGAATACAATGAATACAGTTATAATTAGAAATTTTTTACATTTTCGAGGATTATGAGTAGAATAATTTAGTTCTAGTTGTGTTTTTTTTCACACTGTTTATATTGCTTTGATGAGGATTGTCTATTTTTTGTTTGTTATTAAAACAAAGGAACTTATCTATTTAAGCCGATAGGTGAAGGGTTCGAACCCCATTTAAACTGTATTAATTTAGCAAAATAGTACAACCAGATCTTAAATAAAACTTTCAACCCATAAGTAAGTAGACAAAGCTGGAATTAAGGAAAGATTGACTTAATAGAAAATCTTGTTATTATAAACGATAATTTTATGTTACATGAATAATGATTCTCATAAGGCATAATACATCAGAACTAAAGACGCATTTTAAAAAAATGAAACTAAAATTTCCTATTCTTTTATATTTTATAAATAGGTGGACAATTTTAATTCGTCCCATAAATACTGAATTAATAAGTAAGTAATCCTAACTTTGTAAATGTAGTCTGGACAAAGTATATTCTTGTTACCAATTAACATTTCTAAACTGTGTAGAAATAGTTATATTGTGGTGTGGGTTACCTATATCCACACAAGTAGTATATAACGGTGGTCGGGTATAGAATGTATTTCAGAAGAAGTTTGATAGGGAAAGAACGGAAACGGAACGTAATCGCTATGAAAATGCATGAGCAATGAAATATGAGATAACGGACTGATAGTTGCAAAAGGAACAGTGAAGTCTGAGACGATAGATTGATATTTTACAAATGAACTATTTACTATATGGTTCTCGGATTTTATTGAGACGCTCTGTAGTTACGTGTCAAATAAATTCGATTGTCCCCACTAGTGTTCTTGTTTACTACAATATATGTAAAGCTATCATCGTCATGCTGTTTGTTATTATCGATTGTGTGTGAGACAATAAATTTAATCTTTTTTAACCAGTTCTTTTCCATCTGTTTGTTGTTATAGTAGAACTTTTGTGATACAATGCAATTCGAAGTAGCTTTTTATCTTGTGTGTATGAAAAAATAACTTGAGATTTCAAAGTTTAAACCAAAGACTGGTTTCGGTTAGACAACCATTTTAAACTAGGAAATAATAGATAGTTATCTGGCCCTGTTGTGGGAATTTACGGAATCGTTAATCCACAACTTCACCATGGCTAGACATATAAACCATAGGTTTATGGTTTAGTAGTATAAATGTTAAGCACTCGTCTCGACAGCTGAATGTCCTGTATTCGATCCCCAGTGCATGGTGTTTTGCTTGTTTCGTTGTTTACAGATCTTAGGTAAGCTTGATTATAGAACCAAGAATTTACACTATTGGTAAAATTTGAAGTACAACTTAACTACTGCTTCGTATTTTCTATCTATCAGCACTTTTCTAGCGGGTTTGTAAGTGGGGATTTTCGAGGCGCCCCATACTAGGATGAAAAACTGTTCAGTGCCCACTGTTCTTAATAGTTGTTGACTAGATTCGGTCCATGATGTAAACTATGAAATTTAACAATCTAGACGAATTCCCTATAGTATCATAAGATTTTCTCAATTTGAGTTTAGTTTTCATCTCAGATAGAGATCAGCTGAATAACCATTGTTAACATTTTTAGTATTCATAACCTTATACTGGATAGAAACAAGAACTACCCAGTTGCAAGTAGAGTACGATAACCTTAGTTCACTAAGTTACAATCCAGCGGTTAATATCTTGATGGATTTTCTACTAAAAATGCTACTTACATTCCACCTATATGTTTAAACTATATTAGGTAGGTCTTCTCACAAGGACATTTCCATTTGAATAATACTTTAGAATGAAATCCAGTGTGAAATGACTGAATTTTAACATTCGAACATTGTGCTTCTTACTTTCGGCATGTTACTTTAAGCCTTAATTCAATTAGGATAAGATTTTCGTCGAAGATTCTTTCATGATCAAATCATACCGTTTTAATTTTGAAAAAAACGTTTATTAATAAAACTATCAAAGTGGGATGATAATGCCAGTGAGGATATGGAAAATAAATTATTATTTCATATTTATTTAGTAATATTTATTACCTTCGACTGCCTATTTTGATTTGTCGTCCAATTACTATAGTCTCAAGACTACCAACTGTAGGTTGATTATCTGATTGATGAGTATCAGCCCATTTCTCAATTACATCTTGATTAGTTGTTCTACTGAACTTATCAATCTTTATCCATGGTCTACCTGATACAATACCTGCTTGAATGTTATGCTTGGTATTTCGTGTAAGATTGTGTTTACTATAAACAAGTAGGATACGATTTGGAATACCACCATCAATATATCTAAAAAAATGAATAGATAAAGAAAAAAAATTTATAACTGAAGAATAAAATATTTTTTAAAATTTAATGTTTAGAATTAGTATATTTGGTATATGGATATCAGTGGAAACTAGGACGTGGATTTCATCCCATTTACAGAGAGTATAATACCTTCATACTTTAGTTGGACAAACAATGGAAAGAATGAACACTACACGGTTATTTCGTCCTTATATGAGAATCATCATCAATACTCACCTTCTAAGGCATATTATAAGTTACATTAAATCGGTCTATAATCATCTAATTCATCAATATTGTTGTGAATTGAGTTTGGGTTTAGCGTTTCTGAATTACGAACAACTAAAATGTAGTGAACAAGAACACCAGTGGGGACAATCGAATGTATTTAACACAAAATTACAGGACTTGTTTAATAAAATCTAACAATCAGAAAGTAAATGCTTAATTTTCAAAATTTCCACCAATTATTTCAAAATGACCCAGACTTCATTGTTCTTGCATTTTCATATAAATTGCATCCTGTTTCCATTCTTTACTGTTCGATCCTCTTGTCTCTCTGTTGCCAGACCTTCTGTACACGACTAACATTATATACTACTTATGTCAATACAAGTAGCACACACCAGAAAAAGACTAATACACAACATTTCATCGATGAAAGAGAGAGAAGTCTTGTAAAGAAATGTAATGACTATGGTCCTCAAAAGAATTAGATCGAATTCAACTAAATTTAGTTCAAACATATATAAATTATTCAATAAATAATTATCACAAAATTTATCAAACTACATAATCATCCCTTTTCACAGAATTACACTGAATTATTAAATACAATAAATTGCCCTAAAATCACTTAACTGGTTTCATACTGAATAAATCGATACTAACGAGAGCCCATTGATAGTCAATGATCAAAGTTAATCTTGAATCAGAATGTGAATTTTAAAATTGATTTCCTTCTAAATGTAGTATTTAGGAATTCATTCACAGCAGATAGGTTCATTCCATGATACTATACGGTCAGTTTCATTATCCAAGAAGTAAGTTTTACCCTTACCTAAACTTATCACCATAATGTAATTGATAAACTAACCTAGAAATATCATATTATAATTCTAAACTAATGAATTAGGTATGAGAAATATCAGATAGTTCATGTGTAAGCATAAAATATAAATAAACCAGCTTACTTTAACACAACTCTCCAGTTAGAAATAGCCATACTGAATTGATGATCTTGTGTATCACGTAAAATCATTTGTTCCTGTTCACTTGGAGGTGCACGATAATGTAAAAGCATTCCATTACCTTTATCTAAACTTAAAATCATTTGTATTTCAGTTGGTTGATCGATATGAAATGGTATGCGAGCAAGAAGTGTAGTTGTTTCGGTAAATAATCGTCCATCCTCGTTATTTTCTGCGGTTAGTTTGTCGGGTAATTGGGAAATCAATGTGTTAGTCTGATTTAATTCAGTTGTCTTTAGTAAATGTTGCTCTTTATCATTTTCAAACTTGATATCTGCTTGTAAGGGGAGCAGTAAAGGTTTAGGATTATTATTTTAACCAATAAATATTGAACCGATTCATATTTGAAAATCATTCAAAACCAAAAGTGTGCTGGACAATTCATCTTGTACTAGGTATTCAAATCTTCCCATTGACGGATAGGACTGTAATTGATCAGCCTCTTATTGGCGTATGTGCGTCCTTTACGGATTGCCTCAATATTTCCTTACATCATAAGCATTGTGAGCAAAGATGTATGGTGGCTATCAAGCAAAATAGACGAATCGCACATTATGGATTCCACTGTTAAATACCATACATCCCTGCTTATAAAGTGATGGATAATTGTTTCGTCCCGGTATCGGACGCCTCAGCAACCCGCACATACGATCCCGACATAGGGGATCGAACTGATTATGGAGTAAATGTCTAAATTCAGTCAATCAACGATTTATTGAAGTGGTATGCATAGCAGGACCAGTAAAAAGGAATTAATAAAACTAGTATTACTTTAATGTCATGAAGTAACTACAGTTAAAAGAGATTATATCTCTGTTGTCACATGAAAATAATTTTATCATTCTAAATTTAAAGTCTACTGAAAGTAGGAAGTCAGTAATAAATGAAAACATTTAAACAGTCATCTTTAAATTTCATGAGTAACAGCAGTTTGAATAATCAGTTTTTTTTTTACCTTCACTTTGTCCTTTAACGCTACAACCATTTTCTGTCACTTGACTACCATCTGGACACATTGAACATTGTCGTCCAACAACACCAGTACGACAGTTACATTGACCAGTTGCTTGATTACATGTTGTCTCAGTTGAACCAAGTGGATGACATGAACATGCTTTAGAAATCAAAATAATAGACGAAAACACACACACATGTAAAAAAGTAAATTTCAGTGATGAATTTTATACATAATTAACAATTTCCTATTCTTCAAATCTAGTTAATATAAACTGAGATAAATTTACTAGTTAATTTTGACTGGTGAAATAATTAGGAAGACATCATGTGAATCACTCATATTTGTTTTGACATAATTTTGGGATTGAAAGTAGGAACGTTATATTTCATATTTTTCAGAATAACTGGGATGTATATAATTATGAATTTCAATGGTTAAGATCATGAGTCAGTTGAAGCTAGACCACTATGGAGAACCTGGAAGCACTGGACAGCTGGCCGTTTCGTCCTAGTATGGGACTCCTCAGCAGTGCACATCCACGATCCCGCACCCCGCGATATTCGAACCCAGGACCTATCAGTCTCGCACGCGAGCACATAACCACTAGACCACTGATCTAGCAGGCATCCAACGGTGTTATTGTCTAACTTCAACCAATCCACGAAGTTGCGCCACCATATATACCATTGTCTTCAGTGAGCTGATATCTCACAACAGACCATGTTGAACTCCACTGCTCACTACTTCTCACTAGAACTCCAGGATATACCTCTTGACTCCAGTCACTAGTGAGCATATGTTGATTAATATCAGATGGGTTCTGTGGATATTATAGTAATTTCAATGGTTGAGATCATGAGTCAGTTTATAAACAAAATGCATGTGTGTATGTGTTTGTATTCTTCCATTGTTGGACTGAAAGTGGTCAGTCTGTATGTATGCGAAGTAGGCTTTGACATGAACAATGGGAAAATACTAACTATTACAAATAAATGCATACCCGTTGAACAAGTTAGTGGCCGTATAAACTTCGGAGTTCAGTAGGTAACAAGTTCGTATTTGAAAGTAAGGCCACTGAACTCCAGTTTCAGTGTGAAAATCAACAATATGTTAGAGATGCATCAAATTGACTAGACCTGCATTGCATTCGACTGCTAACTACAATTCAGCTTTACTCAAGCAGGACTGAATGTTTATTTGATCAATCAAATAATTTACTAAGTCTGGTCAAATAATCAAGAACACAGTTCACTTAGATGTATGCCCATCCAATTGTTTGGTCAAAACCATTCATTAAAATAAATGAAATGAATAAAGTAATAGGTTTATATACAATTCAGCGGCGAGTTATTAAGATTGAAAAAAAATGCGATTCACTGTATTATGGTCTATTGTTAATGTATCTTAACATGACTGGGAATAGTTACTTTGAGGTATATTCTTCAGTCGATTACTGTATAACAATTAACCATGAGTTAGATTTCCTAATGCAATGATAAAAGTAGTTGCACGTTACTAAGTACTTACAACCAATAGAAATTATTTACATTGTTACTGTCTAACTAATCTATCTGTATGAGTTTCTAAAGAACCTATGAATATTTGAACTGATTACTTAAGTCACCTTCAAAAGAACCATGTAATACCATTTTATCCAACTTATGACCTGAGAAAACATACTAAATTACTTCAGTGATTTTCACACTTTCTCAATTCATATATTTATTCTTTATTAAATTTGGACTTAAACCTGGTTTTTATGTTTCCTTCTTTAAAGTAACATTTAAAAGTTTTGATTAATTTAGACTGTCTACTAAATGTTACAAACAAGTTCGAATTTAATTTGTTCGCAACTATACAAATTACTTGATACTCTTCAGCAAGGTGTACCTGTAATCTTGAGGGAACTGATGCTCCCTCAAGAGTACAGGTACACCTTGCTGATAAGTGCCAAATAGCACGAGACCTGGATTCAGGGTTTCCTACTGACTATCTCCTTGACTATCATCTTACAAATAATAGAATCTTAACTAGTTTTGAAATTACATGAATTATGTTTAATTTTAAACTTACGAATACATTCATGATTATTTTGTATACCCCAATAATTTGCAAGGCATTGATCACACTTTAAACCGCCAACACCCCATTTACATCTACAATTACCTAAATAATCACATTCTTCAGAAAGTGCACCAAGTTTATTACAAGTACAGCTGGATAATCTTACACCATCTGAATTAATTAATATGAAAAGAAAAAAATTTCTTGAAATACCCTTTTGAATTAAAATGTAAATGCTTTTATTGAAAAGAAAAGATCCTTATAACAGTTCGTTGTCGTGTTAATATAGATGAACATAGGTATGAATGCCAAGGTTGAACATGATAGTTTCAAATAAATTGAGCATTGGATAGCAAGTTAATAATAAATATGCTATTTGTGATATCTCAATGAATAGAAAGATTGTATTTCTGGTGTTTTGTGACTAGAAAGAAATATTGTTTCATTTTTATTATTTAAACTTGTGTTAATTTAACTCAGTTATTTATTAACTCTGAAGAAGTGACTTACATTTAGTCACGAAACTTCAGAAATATAATTTTTCTATTCAGTTGGGTATAATGAAAAAATATATTTATTATAGACTAACAGTTAAAATCATACTGAACAATCATTTTGTTTTATTGTGAAATAGTATAACTGTTAGTTCTGGAAACCATTTTATATGGAAAGGGATTATTACTGAGTAAAATTTAGTATACTTTTACATGAGTATTAAATATGAAAGATCAGAGTTTATCCAACTAAGTTTGTTTTATTTGGTTCTATCAAAAATAAAGCTCCATGACTTCTTAGTAAATCTGAGGGGTTCAGTGGATTTCTGGATAACAGTTTTCCCTGTTTGTTAATATACTTTTATCAGATTCCTCTAGATACTGCACTTAAAAGTAAACTGTGTTTACCTCTGTCAGTATGTATGAAAACCATTAGATATTGAATGTTCTAGTTAGCAACCAATAATACAATTTTATCTTTTCAGCTAAAAGCGACTTTTGTATCATGAACTGAAGTCACTTTTAGAAACTACCGGAAACAAATGGACAATTGAAAATTGTTTCATTGTTGCTTGAGATTTTTAATAAGTATTCGGTCGCTATCCAGTACAGAATCGAACCGATATCCTAAAAGATCTCATCTAACTACTGAACCTAAATTTGGCGGTCAAGATTTGCTACTGCAATTTATTTGTGATTGAATGTGATGATCAACCAAAGTTTCCAGTGGGTTACAGTCTTGTTTTCGACTTGTTTACCTTCAAATTTCCAGGTTTCCATACAAATCTAGGCAGACCTGTCTTAAAGTCAGTTACAAGTGAACACCATACAATTATATCTATAGTTAGTTTTGTAAAGGATCATAGAAATTAACGACAGTATTATCTACAGACTAATTAGCTGCAGAATCAACTATCTCCAAAATTTGTAAGAAAGTAATTATTCATAAGAGATTCAAAGCTTCTTAGAGTTAGCTATTTAAATGACTGATCAACTGAAGTAATTTGAAAACAGTTTTACTGAATTTCGGTGAATATGTTGACAGCTCAAGATCACCTGTAATGCAGTTCATAAAAATTGGTTTGATTACTTTTGAGTAATGCTTCCATCGTCCTTTGGAGACCTTTTATTTAGACAGTAAAGTGAGTGAAATAAATTTCTAGTATCATTTATCAGCTACATACAAACACATATTCATATCTCACTGTTCTTTGGAAATCACCTATTATCTCTGCAAAGATGTATCGATGTTAGTTTTTATCATGAAAACAGATAGGGTAAACTGAAAAATAAGGCGTTCAGCCATGTTTGTGATTTGAAAATGTAACAACATGCATTTTAACCTGACTTATTAGGCGGGAAAAACATTATTTAAGAACATTATACGAAATTGACTAAGATATGGAAGAACATCAATATTGAGACCACATTATTCATAATACAATTTATCAAGCTATTGCTTACAATCTATGTATGTACATGGATTGAAATTTCTACAAACAACATAATTACAATTTACACAGTATAACTGTAATATTTTCTGAGATAAGCCTATATATATGTAGCAATATAAATAATTCAAACTACAAATGTAATTAGATTCCATACCTGCTTGTACGTTACCTGACGTTTTCATATTTGTATCTTGTAGAGCAGTTGGATTTTTACTTCGACATCTGACACCAGCTAGATCTACATCTATATTAGTTTGTTGAATACAAGCTTGACGTTTAAGTTCACATTCACTTGAATATAATTTTCCATCTGTACCGCATACATCAAGTTCAGTTGGATGCTTTGGTGGACATGTATCTCGACATACACATTGACCATTACGACACTGAAAACCTAGTGGACAACCAGCTGTACATGGACCTAGTTAATTGTTTTGAAATATAGAGGGAATCTGATGAAGTCTTTTTGTACAAAACAACAATTAACAATTTCTGAACAGATGTAATAATCACAGATATTACATGAAAATGAATACATATACTTAGTATACGTATGCTTATGGAACAAGTTATTTCACTGAATAGTGAGAGTGTAATCCGTATACTCATATATTTACTTTAATCAATTCTAACTCAATGGCGTAACATTCACTGAGTAATAGATAAGTAGTTTCACACTGAGATGGGCTATGTGTTATGATGGGTCGGCTACTTCTTATTGGCTCAACATATCACTGTGCATCCTAAATCTCTAAACTTTTGAGTATTTATTTGATTGTATTATACATTCATAAGGGTATAAGAAGGGCAGTATATAGAGAATATTTATTCAGTCTGATATAATAAATTGTTCTGTTACTGTTAGATAAACATGAGACATGTACACTTGTACCGAGAACACATTTTCTATGACACTCATATAGAGAGAAGCTATTTGGATGAGTTTCATTCTAGGCTGATCTCATTCGAATATTATAAAATCAGAATATACCGGATGATTATGTCATGTTTATCTGGGCAAATTGAGAAATACATTTTAACAGATTTGCTTGCAATGAAATTTAATACATTTTAATTTCAAAAGAGTAATCAATGATCAAAGGATAATATAAATCATCAACTTTGTCAACCGTAAACAACTCATTACGACATAATGCTAGCCAATTAATGATAAATAAGTCATTACCTATTCTAAAGAATGACTGACTTGAGATCTGATGTTACCTAATAACAATAATAATAATAATACTTGTTCTGCATACACATAGTTCTCTTCATTATTTCGAAGAAAGTAATAACAAAGTTATGTGTGAAATAATATGAATTATTAGTATGGGTATTTGTGGCGATTGCAATATTTTTCAAAGTTGAAACCGCGAATCGATCTAATCTAGATCATCATTGAAAACTTGGAAGCAGTGGACTAAGTCCCATACTGGAACGAAACGGTTGTCCAGTTCTTCCAGGTTTTCAATATTGGTCCCTCTGAGATCAACTCCTGATTTCGACAGTGGAAATAAAATAGATTTATTTTATTTAGTTAGGTTCTCATTCGCTGCTTACAATCAGTAATATTTAATCAAAATTACGAAGTGGGTTTAGAGAAGACACAAACGTATTTGGATAAAAATTGTCCTGAACGCATTCTAACGTCATAGATAAATTTAAAAGACTAAAGAAAATAATCGAATATATTATCATACATGTAGAAGAATATTCAAAAACATTGGTAGCAACAAAACTAAGAAGGTAGACACAGGTGGTTACGTAACAGAAACACGCTAATGACAAGTATGAATAAATCGAACCCAGGACCTAATGGTTTCGCGCGCTAGCACTTAATCACTAGACCACTGAACATATGTTGATTAATATCAGATTGGTTTTGTGGATATTGTGGCATATGCTCGCTAGTGAATGACTGCAAGAGGTATATTCTGGAGTTCTAGTGAGAATTAGTGACCAGTGGAGTTCAACCGGGTGTGTTACGAGATAGTTACTCACTGATGAGAATCATGGATGTGTCACTCAATTTCGGGGATTAGTTGGAGTTAGACATTAACACCGTTGGATACCAGCTAGGTCAGTGGTCTAGTGGTTAAGCGCTAGCGCACGTGATTGATAGGTCGTGGGTTCGAATCTCGCGAGGCGTAGTCGTGATTGCTCACTACTGAGAAGTCTCACAATAGGACGAAATGGCTGTCCAGTGGTTTCGGGTTTTCCATGGTGGTCTAGCTTCAACTGACTCATGATCTTAACCATAGATATAAATTTATTAAAGCGACTGGTTAACTGATTGTTGTCCATACACATTTAATAATTAAATCACTGTATTACTGGTGTTGACTGCTGTGGGTCTAAGTCTTTAAAAGAGAATCATTTACTCTAAGATAGAAGATATACCTTATTGAAGAAGGATATTAATCATAAAATACTAGTCAAAAATTTTCTACTAGCTCCCTCTACCTAGCAAAAGTTATAGTAGACTACTGATTATTTAGTTATTTAAAGATGTTTGTTCTAAACTTAATAAAAAAATCTATTTCACTGCTTAATAAAAGGTGTAGGAGATGGATAATTCAAACAGTCAAATAATCCTCATCTTAATTCGTAAGGTTATTACAGTATAGACACTTACGACAGTATCCTTCTTGAGCAACATGAACTTCACGTTGGTCAGCGCATGATTTCACCTTTAGCAAACATTCATTTTCATAATTTTCACCATCGGTTCCACACACTGGCTTTCTGACCTAAATAATGATAGATATCTGGTGAAAAAGTATGGCCATATAAATTATTATGTGGTGTTTTTTTAATGGTTGTGGATGATTATAAGTATCCTGTAAAGGGACTGCAACCACTATTCTGTGCGTTATCTATTCAAAAAATACGATATTGCAGCACTTTTACTAAAAAAATACTGGTTCCTAGACGTTGCATATCATTCGAAAACACTGATGATATTGTCGCTATGTCAGTTTCTTAGCGTATTTATGTATATTTTACACTGGCCATTAAGGAAAACATTGTGTTTAAAAGATTTTTAACTATGATTGCTCATGTTCTGATAATAATTCAGTACTCTAAATTGCTATCACTTATGATTATGTATTTTGTAGTGAATCTATAATTTATGGACGAATCAATCAGATTTACGATAACAGGTCTTGGATTCTGGTGCAAAATTCATTCATTCATTTGGCTAAGTAGCGTCTCGGCATTTTAGCTTATGTCAGTTCGTGATGAAACCCCTAAATCTAATTTCTAAATTTACACTTGGTCAAATTGACTAGACATATACTGTCTGATAAATCTTTGTTCAGATGTTTGGGTAGAAACAATAATACATATCACCATACCGATATACCTATATGGTGTTTTCATTTAGAGCAAGATATATGTAGCAGAGACTGCTTTTAATAGTTAACAAATAATCGTAAATTAAAAAATGAGTTATCAAACAGGGATACTTCGTAGGTTGAAATATCCAATTATTTAAACAAAGATGTTTTACTTTACTGTTGTTGGCTATTAGTCTAACAAAAATTGTAATCTGGATCAATATTAACATTATGCTAGATGGTTAGATGTAATCTAAAGGATGTGACTCATCATAAATGGACATCTGGAGCCTAAAGGGATCGATAAAATCAGGTCAGCATCAACAATACGACAAACATAATTTTGATTACTACTCGATGAGACAATCATTTCTAGATGTATACATTACAGTATAACTATCATTATTGTCGTGGGTCTGTGTTAAAATCTTTCATCGATCAATATTACTTTACATTTTACGATCGATTACTTCCCCTAAATATCTGATTTGGATAGATCATATTAAAGTAAAGATGGATGGTGGCTAGCACTGGAATACAGGATGCACGTTCCGTCCTATTTGAGACTCTTGGGTCAGATGTACCTGCATCCCAGAGTTGATGTTTACTACGGGACTCAAACCCAGTACTTTTCGCTTCAAACGTTACCACGTTATCCACTTAGCTATTAAGTTCTGATAGCCACTTGCTTGTGGAATGGGGTGAAGTTTAAATTCATTTTGTATTGTTTGTTTGGATGTTCCTATCATATTAACGTTAAACATAAGCGGGCAAACATTCCTTGTTGACTACTGAGTTCAGTAATTACAAAACTGCATAAATGAATAAAAACTTAACTATTAGTGAGTCTTTTAGTTCAGTCAATAGAATATTAAACTGTAAGCGGCTAATTTTAATTTTATCAAATCATCAGAAAATTAGAATAGCATACAACGAAATATTAAATAGGAACTTACATAAAGACAATCTGTTGGACATATACATTGTGGTTCACCGAATGCACTTAATCGACATATTGCATAATATTTACATTGTTTGGTTTGACATGCATCTAAAAATAGGTTATTGATTTAAACAAAATGTTACTATTCGGAAAAATAAGATAACACGAAGCTAAAAGATGCTCACAGTATTCAGTTGATGAATTTGTAGATGCATTTAGTTTAAAATAATAGAATATTGTGTTTTTCTTTCTTAGTCAAGGTACACCAGATCGAAAGCATGACATTCAAAGAAAATATTCATAAGTTCTAAACCGTGAGTCATAGCTTTTAAAGCCAGTGGTGTTGAAAGTCATGAATCACTGTAGATGATAAACACTAAGGAATGAACTGTTCAGTATTTACAATAAGAAGTTATTAAAGTCACTGACTGAACAACATTTTGTAGCACATAAATCAAGTATTTAAGGTTCCCTTCCTTGTCAAATCAAGCGTGAGAACTATTGAGGAAATGTTTTTCCATTCATGACAAAACAACTTTACAGTAGTTATCTTTCTAGTGGAAAAGTCTTCTTCATGTCCTTTTTTTTCTCTTACCAAATTTATTTCACTGGATTATACTCTGTGACTAACATCTTCAAACCCTAATGTTTCCGATTACTGCTTATACTTATACTACCTCTACCATTATAAGACTTAAAATCGGCAATTATATCTCTGTGCTAATGTGGTATACCAACTCGAACTGATGTACGTACGTACGAATTTCTATGTTGTTACTGACTGGCTGGATACGTTTCATCTTGTCACATTATATCTCACTCATCTATGGACTTTATCAATATTTAAATCTAAAGAAGATATTTTATATATAACAATATTGATCAATTGAGTACACTCAACTGTTTAACTTATTTACCGAATATATTTATCTAACCTTGATACTATTCAACTTATTAATACTCTATAGCTAATCATTGTTTAACAGAATAGAGTGTCAATTAAAAGTTACCGAATTTCAAGCTTATTATTATATCTCAGCCTAAAATTAAAACAAGAAAAAAAAACGATGTGACGTAATAGTTACTTGTCTATTAACTCTTAATTACTATTGTCGTTTATTGTTTTTCCAACATTACGATGTTTTTATTATTTATTCCATGAAATAAACAAATATAAATTAGTTCTTATTGTATTATAATGACTGATTTTTATTACTAATTTATCATTAGAGTTAGTTTATCACTTTTTTTCTCTTCTAATTATCAGGATTATTGATTTATTCAATGTAATTAGATAGATTTGTGTCGCTCAATTTCGGGGATTAGTTGAAGTTAGACATTAACACCGTTGGATACCAGCTAGGTCAGTGGTCTAGTGGTTAAGCGCTAGCGCACGTGATTGATAGGTCGTGGGTTCGAATCTCGCGAGGCGTAGTCGTGATTGCTCACTACTGAGAAGTCTCACAATAGGACGAAATGGCTGTCCAGTGGTTTCGGGTTTTCCATGGTGGTTTAGCTTCAATTGACTCATGATCTCAACCAATGAAATAATTATTTTATTGGTTGACGTTAATTATTTTAATTCAACCATGTCGATCAAAGAAGGCCTAGGACAGAGTGAGTTGGAGAATGCTGGTCGGCAGCCTATGCTCCATTAGGAGTAACAGGCGTAAGTATGTAAGTAATGTCGATTAAAATATATTGGAACCTTTTTAATCTGGTAGAACTTACTATTCAACCATAATGAATTTATCTTTGTAGATATTAGTTAGTACGTACACTTAATCATAAATTTAGTAGAAGTTATTTGTGCTGTTCGAATTCAGAACTATGCCAGATCTTGTAGTCATTTCTAAACATTTAAATCTTTAGGATCTGTTAAGAAGTTATATACCAGGATGTAACAATTGTCAAGTGCTTTCTAGTTTTCAATATTTATTTGGGTAAATTCATTCAGAGACACAAACTACAAGTTAGAGGATTTTCGTCAACCTCCTATGCGAAACATTTTATCACATGTTCTTATGGATTAGTGTCTCCATAGACATTTAGATTAGAATTGAATGAAAAAAGATTGCGTAAATTTGTAAAATGACAAAAGCATTGTACACTATTCAATATTTTAACATTCGCTATCATAATACTCAATCTTATTTCAATCAAATGTTACCTTCAACAAGTGTGTTCGTTCAGTATTTATGAATTTAAACTTTTGGTAGTACTAAGTAGTGTTGAATGTATATTAAACATAGAATGCTTCAAAAATTTCATGATTGTACTACACTAAAAATAACTTAGTCTAAATGGAATAGTTTGAAATTCTTCAGTTCACATATCTGCATCATAAAACTAATGACTTTATGATGTACAAACACTAGGAATCAATAATGAGCTTTCTCTTTTTAAAAGCTAATTTCAAGACAATAAAGTTTTATAGAAGATAATTCCTAGCATTAAACGTATACGAAACGAGAAGTGTATGACACTTGAACTAAAGTATTACAGAAACCTAATTAATGATTTAAAATCCATTATATTCGTTACTTTTATATTGTTTTTTTGCTAAGCTGAACAGATCATCTACTTAGTCGTATGCTTTAATATTGTCGTGTATAAGATCAATAGACATTTAGGAAAATAAGTGCCAAATAACAAGCATCACCAATTTCGCAAGTAATCATTTTAAAGGCACATTGTAATTGAATTAATGACTTTTAAGGAGTTGTCGCTAGTTTTTATCGATATAAGATCATATTTACATCGAAATAGCGGGTATCCAATGAGATATTCAGCGTATATTCTAGTTAGCACCGAAACCTCTCAACATACTCAAAATGATTATTACTTACCACATTTCCCTCTTGATTTAACAGTTAGATCTGTGGAATGTCGTTGACAAGCGCTCGATCGTAAATGACATTCACTACGATATGTTTGCCCATCTGATCCACATACATGCCCACCTAGACCATATTCTGGGCATGTAGGGCATATACACTGTGGAATTGTATCGTCAAAAGAATTTGAAAGGTCATAAACGGATGCATCCACTTTACCGTTGATTGAAGCGTAAACCATTGGATTTTTAATGCGAGAACATATTTCATATCCTTGGCATGGTTGACTAAGCAGTTTACAGTCATTTGGCTTACCTTGAAAGATCAATAAAAAAGGATAGATATCTTTGGAATACTCATGAATTTGTACCTATTTATTGTCTGAATCCCTTAGTTGTTTAACCGAGTTAACTATTAACAAGGTAAAATGCGTCTATACCGATTAAAATAATCAAACAGAAAGTTTATTAAACGTTTAAATTAGTGTTGATATTTAAAAAACCCAAATCATCTAGTTTTAGGTAAATCATGAACAAATCTAAGTTAGACTGCCATCGAAAACATGGAGAGACTGGACGGCCGTTCCGTCCTAGTATAGAACTCCTTAGGAGCAAACATCCACAATTCTACAGGCAGGAACCGAAACCAAGATGTTTGGTCTCTCTCGTGAACACTTAAACTCGAGACTACTCAGCCGGGATCGAATGGTATACAAGTTTAACTTTATTCAGTCTACAACTGTAAGCGAACATCTATTGTTTTCAGTAGATACCTTCCTCATATCCGACACAGTTTTCAACAATAAACTTTTTAATTATGTACTATGAAATGTAATGAAATATATCCATTTGCAAAATCCACTCTAATTAAAGTTCGAGGGTTCTATGAATTTTATTTATTCGATAATATTCATCAATAAACAGTAATTATGTATGGATAAACTAACTTCATTATATGATGTAAAATAAATTTAATATTTAACAACTGGCATTTCAGAGTCGTAAGTTATATTGTGATTTACATTTTTATTCTTTAATATATGTCTATTATTTAGTTAATAACTAATCATCATACTACCTTGTTTATATATTTATTCTATTTTGTAATGACTTTTCATTCAGAATTCTGTAAGTTAATCAACCATTCGAATATATCAATTACTTCTGCAGTTTATAAGAATGTATGGTGTCATGAAAACACTCTTTGTGATAATCATTGAAGAACTCAAAAATAATAAGACTTTTTGATTGTAACTCAAGATCTCGATGGTATTGAGGTAACTTTAAGACCCGAAGCTTCTTTGTTCACATCCAATTTGAAGTTGTAATTATCTACTATTTAATAGTTCAAAACTTAAGTCGAATGATATGTTGAAAGGACTTTAAACCTGAGACTTTATATTTAAAAAGAGCTGTGTAAAACGTTCCTAGTAACATGAGTTTGATGGTATTACATTGTATGATGTATTCTATTGTATAAAATGAAATGAAAATACGTAATAAATTTCAGTGTAATATAGTTCAACCAGGTCTATTGTGAGATATCAGCTCACTGAAGACAATGGTATACGACGGCGCAGCTTCGTGGATTGGTTGAAGTTAGACATTAACACCGTTGGATGCCGGCTCAGTGGTCTAATTGGTCAAGTGCTCGCGCGCGAAGCCAGTAGGTCCTGGGTTCGAATCCCGCGGGTTGCGGGATCGTGGATGTGCACTGCCGAGGAGTCCCACCATAGGACGAAACGACCGTCCAGTACTTCCAGGTTGTCCATGGTGGTCTAGCTTCAAGTGACTCATGATTTCAATCTGTGTAACATAGTTTTAGTTAGTTGAATACATAGTTTATATTAAGAACACTGGGATTTAGTAACTGAGTGTGAAGATTTATTTTGCATCGAAATTTTCAAACTAATAAGTTGTTACTGTAATACAAAAACATACTTTTTTAAGGGTCTATTCTCTTGGATATTCAAAATTGTAAAAAAAGTTCTTATATTCAACAGTAAATGAAAATATTACTCCAGTTATTAGCATCCATTTAAAATGTAATAGATCAGTGGTGGGTTTTTTTATTTGGTCATGAAAATGTTCCCAGTAAGAAAAAGCTTTAGAGGTATTGAGAAAGCATTCAGATAACACTGTGAATACGGAAGACTGTCCTGCTGTTTGAAGAGGTTGAGTGTTTTTTGGGTTAAATTCGTATGTATGAAAGGAAGACAGATGATATATCTGTGGATGATTGTTTAGCTCAAAAATCTTTCAGTACTTCAGTCTTATCAATAACATAATAATGAGTTTGATTTATGTAATCAGTTTGTAAGTTATTGTTTAAAAATTTTCAATAAAAAATAACTACTTACTGCATTCTCCTGAATAAATTACACGAATTTCTCTCATTTTTTGACATGCTGTTCTTTCTAAATGACATGTACTATCATAAGTTACTCCATCACTACCACAGACTGGAGATACAACCGATGGACAAGGTTCTGGACATGTACATTTAGCTTGACCATTTATATCAACTTGACATTTTTCACCTTGCCATCGACATTTATGATGTAAGCATGGATTAGATGCTGTAATATAAAAATGAATTAAATAACGATAATAATACTAACGGATGGACAGAATTTAAAATTGATTCAAAGCTATTATGTAATGACCATTATTTAAGAAGTTTACTTTCATCACAGATTGAGACCAACTGAAGAAACATTGAGACTATGTTTCATTGAACAGCTATTTCATTCAGCTATTGAACTTATTAATAGTGAACATTCATGAACGTACCAGAGTTTAAATCTTGGATCTTCAAGTTTCCCAGTCAATTTGGGTTTAGTTCTTGGTAGAGTCGTATACATTCACCGCTTTGGAAGCTCTTATCAGAACAAAACGATTATTACTTTAAACATCCATAGTGTTAAGCTCATTCATTCAAATTGTTTACATCATGGTTTGATGTTTACAGATAGTTATTTTCCTTTCAATTTACATGATCATTATTTCTTGTACGAAAAAGAAACTACTTCATTTCTGTTTTACACTTTTTCTTGGCATCGATTGAATAAAGTATATTAATCTTTCATCATCATGATTATATTTAACTACATTCTCCCTCCTACTTTCTTACTTTTTAAACTTAAAGTACCAAAAATTTGAAATTTTGTAACTATGGTTACCGCGTTTGGGCTGTGAAACTAAACAAATAAAAATGTATTTTTGTTAAAAATGATCTAAGTTACTAAATGAAAAATGGTCTTCTTTATTCATAAATCAACATCATGTCCATACTTAGAATAATAATAATGGTGATAAAGAGACGTATTCTTTAACTGTGTGAATCAACTTAAAAATGTCACAATATGTACTTTAAAAAAATAACTTTTAGTTAAGAATACGTCTGAAGAATAAGTTTAAAGAGAGAAAAAAAAATCCTAACAGACATATCACTTGAGTAGATCAAATATGTTACCGTTTTAATCTTGTATATCAATAAGGACTAACTTAATACACATATCAACCCTTAATAAAATCTAAATAATTATAAACCTAAACTGATATTGAATGTTATGATGTAAGAAATATGAAGTTCATAAGGAATTGTTAAAACATTTAACAACTCATCCATAATATATTCATGAGAACAGCGAAGTGATTTCCAAATTAGCATTCTTGATACTTTATTTGTAAGCATCATACAGAGATGATGGAGGAGATTTGTAGCTTAGGTGAATGATTTTGATGGAGTTTTGTTCTCTGATTCGGATGATTTGGTCGTGAAGCTTTCATCATTCTTCTGAATGACATCATCAGCATAAACTTCAGGTAGAAGTGAAGTGTGCTGATGATGTCGTTCAGAAGAATGATGAAAGCTTCGCGACCAAACCATTCAGCTCAGAGAACAAAACTCTATCGAAAAGCATCATACTACTACTATTGTAGTGAACGAGAACAACAGTGAGAACAACCAAATATATTTTAATACAACGTTACAGAATATCTTCGCAAAATCTGAGAATTATACAATAAACACTTCATTTAAAAAATATCCATAACTTGTACCAGACTTTAGGGTTTCTTCATTTCTATACCATTCACTCTCTGCTCTCATTCGCTTCTCTTCGATTTTCTGAACCTTCTACCGTCAGACATTTCATTTTCGATTGATGATATATACTATTTATATCTGTCGATATCAGTAGCACACACCACACTACTACTAGTTACAATATTGAAGTCCAAAGGATGTCAGTTAATCAATAGGAGACACAGAATCTCTTCCAATAATATGAAGTCATCTTAGATTATTTTTTGTTTTTCATTTTACAAACAAATGTTAGCGGTATTTATATTCTTTTCTTCTTTTCTTTTCTCTTCTTTTTCTTTTTTTGGTAAAATAAGACAGACTGAAAATATTTTAAAAGAATTATTAGTGTAAATCAGCATTGGAGGAATACCTTGAATGGTTATACAGTTGGAATAGAAGGTAATAGGAGGAAAATGTGGCATTTGTGTTCTTTTTTTTTCCAAACTATTATGAATTTCTGTTCAAGAAAATGAATTACGAGTTTTATACAGTTGAATGAAATAAAATGCGACATACTACAGTGATGAAAATGTTTGTAACTAGCATGTGAGAATTTTCATGGAATGACTTTTCGGCAATATTTCATGCTTCAGTAGTTGAGATCATAAGTCAATCGAAGCTAGACCACCATGGGGAACTTAGAAACAGTGGACGGCTGTTTTGTCCCATTGCGGAACTCCTCAGCTTCAATTGACTCATGATCTAAACTATTGAAATTACTACAATCTTCACGAAACCCCTTCTAATATTTCATGCATTATTTTTAGTTTATGGTACACATGAAAAGCAATGAAGAAAACATAGGAATCTCAAACACACTTTTTTCATGAAACCATTGATTGTTGTTTCGAGTCATGTTATTGGGTGCAAGCTACTTGACTCACATATATATCTTCGTGGGACTTCTTGAAAACTAAGCACCAAAAGACAATTATCATAATTTAATTAAGTAGAAAAATTGAAAATGATGGAGTAAAACTATTCTTATTGGCGAAATTAAAAGACAGTTTGATATCAATGAAAATTGATGAAAGTTGTTCATTGCCTACCTAGAACTTTCAGATAATCAAGATAAAACCTATTGATCTATACGCTTCATGGTAAATACATTTATGAAATAGCAAAATTATCGTTGAATGTCATTGGTAATAATAGCCTAACTCCTGATGTTATTAATTAGTTTCAGTAATGAATTATTACAGGAATTTCTGGAGGTTATCTAACAGCTAGTTGTTAGGGAATACATGATTAAATGATGAAAGGAAAACTTTTATGATATAAAAATACAACGGTTAATTTATTAAAGTTTATAAATATGACTGAACAGTTATTTTTTCCCAATCCTCTCTAAATCCTTATCAGCTTTTCAAATCTCATTTTTGAAATAAACAAATATTTTTTTATGCAAAGATGAATAATGGCTACCAGTGGAATCCAGGACATGCGTTTCGTCCTAAATGGATAACGCAATGACGTTTGAAGAGAACGGTAATGAGTTCGAGCCCCAGAGTGAACATCAATTCTGAGGTAGAGGTACATCCAGCTGACGAGTCCCAAATAGGGAGAAACGCACGTCCTGCATTCTACTGCCAGCTACTATCCATCTTTGCATATAATGCTTGTGAATTAACGCTATATCGAGGCAATACACACAATATGCACATATTGTCAATAAGAGATTGATCAATTGCAATCCTAAACATCAATCGGAAGATACAAGCAAACAATACCAAGTGAATTTAGAATATTTTTTTTAGCTCATAGTAATTAAGTAGTATATAACACATTTTTCACTATGCTGAAAAGATATGATAAACTTCCATTAGTAATTACCTTATTTAATTAATGGATGTGAATAAAATTCTATTTATTTACGTAACAAAAAACCCCGTCTTACACGATCATAGCAATGAAATATTTGATATAGATTTATTTTAAATGTGGAAACTGATTTTTTTCATTATAAATTGTAGTGTCGGTTGCTATGTTAAGCCCACATAACTTGCTCTAGATTCTGGAGAGGCTAATTTATTCATTAATTTTGAGTTACATTTTGACCTCGTTCATTATTCAATTATCAACCCTGACTGTTTTTTATGAGTGTATGTGTGTTCATTTCCTATCTTACTCATCACATAACTAACTTATTTGTATCTGACTATAAATATTGATTAACGCTTGATTAAATTGAGTTGGCTCACACGCCTTCTCCATTGTGCGCCACCTCGTTTCACTCTCTCTTCTTCATTTCCTTCGTTATATCTCTCTGATTATCTGTTCGCATCAACGATTGTACAAAATATATGTATTCAGAAATCCATTCTCATATTTGACTTATTTAGTTCCGTTGTTCACTAACGTGATTTAAGTCAATAATTATATACAAGAATTGACTATATGTATATTTCAATGGTAATCAGAAACGATCAAACTAAAGTTAGATATAAGGCCACAAAATTGGTGAGCCTATCGACAACATCGTCTGATCTAATTGACGTCTAAATATATGGCTCCAGTGTTCAATAAATGTGTAAAATCTAATATTTTTTGAACATTACTACATTCGTTTATTGGATGATAGCTGTATATTAGATCATGATTTTTATTGAGGATTTCATTTTAATTCTCTAAAACTATTTACAATGATCTTTTATGAACACATTAACTTAGAATATTTAAATTAATTTGGATTTAAAGAAAGAAGTGAAACTTAAGGCTTGAAATGTAATCTTAAATGAAAATTTATGCTCTAATATACAACATGTAATTGCTAAATGTTGTATATTACATGGCATACAATCGACAGCTCCGAACCAATTACACGATTTGGACGTCGCAGATGACCTAGCCCTCCTATCACGTACACACGAACAGATGCAGATAAAGACAGCTAGTGTAGCAGCACTCTCTGCATCAGTAGGCCTCAGCATACACAAGGGGAATACCAAGGTCCTACAATTCAAAACGAACAACAGCAATCCAATCACTCTTGATGGCAAAACTCTGGAAGATGTAGAATCCTTCACATACCTAGGGAGCATCATCGATGAACAAGGAGGTTCAGATGCAGACGTAAAGGCGAGAATTGGCAAAGCAAGGGTCGCATTCCTACAATTGAAGAACATATGGAACTCAAAACAACTTTCAACCAATAGCAAAGTCACAATCTTCAATACGAACGTCAACGCAGTCAGTTCTACTGTACAAAGCTGAAACTTGAAGAACTAATACAACCACCATGAAGAAGGTACAAATATTTATAAATAGCTGTCTACGCAGGATACTCAACATCCATTGGCCGGATACCATCAGCAACAACCAACTGTGGAAGAGAAACAAATCAGCTTCCAGCTGAAGAAGAAATTAGGAAAAGACGATGGAAATGGATAAGTCATACATTACGCAAATCACCAAACTGCATCATGAAGCAAGTCGTAAGTTGGAATCGTGAAGGGAAGCGGAAAAGTGGAAGGCCAGAGAACACATTAC